TTTTAAAGAAAACACCCACTTTCCATTTGTGAACACTGAAAAATTCAGGCTTTTTGACCAGCTCGGCCTTGCAGCTTGGCCACAAGCTTCAGGATTTTTCAGTGTGATCAAGTTCTAAAGGACAAAATAAAAAGCAAATTGTGTCAAGAGAGTTACAAAACACAAACACAGGAAACACACTGGGGGACTTGTAAAAGCCAAAACTATCTGAGAAAATACTTGCAACCGAGTGATTCATTAACCAGTTCAAACTACATCATCACTTCTTCAGATTTCTGCAGCTTGTCAAAAATCTTTAAAGCTGCAACCAATGAATATTGTCATTGTTGCCAATTAAGATATTCATGTGAGTATCACGCAAGACACACATGAAAAGTCCTCACAATCCAGAGGCTGGAGGAAAGCATTTTACTTATAAAACTACTTGAATGATCAAGCAAAATAGCAGGCAGAATATTTCTCTGTCAATCAACTGATCAAGTAATCGACTAAATGTTTCAGCTGTAAACATTTTGATAGAGCTGTGAAGCATCCGTTTGGCCGGATTTTCAGGAAAGAGGAAACTTGAATCCTAAACCCTACAGACTACATGATAATATGTGCATTGTGTAGATCTGGCCTCTGTGTTGAGTAGTGTGTTCGCCTTATAAGCCAAAACACTATTTATATCTTAAAAGACCAAAACAGTGAATTTTATATTCCAAGTCACCTTCATAAATGGCTATTTGATGTATTTATATGAGAGGAAATAATGGTAACAAAAGAATAAGACATTAGTGTCAGGCAGAATATGATTCAGAGTTTAGAAGATGAAAGCAACAAGAACATGAGCAGCGGTGGGAGGTGGGACTCCTCAGCTTACACAGACCTAACTCAGCTCCCTTCATGTGCCCTGTCTCTACATCTCTCAGGGCCTCAGGGCCCTCTGAAGTGGAGCCAGAGGCCCGTCAAACTAAAACCAGAGGTGATGTCATCTTCATTGGTTAAGGCTGTCCTCGCTCGTTCAGATAAAACAGCTGGCTCAGAGCCCCATTGCAGCAGTCTTCTGCTACACAGAGCTGCATGTACAGCGTTGGCCGAGCGACAGAATTCTGTTGCTAACCAAAATTAACCACACTTAAAGGGAAAGTTTGGGAAACATACTTATTTGCTTTCTTGCCACGAGTTATATGAGAAGATTGCTATACTGTATATAAAGCTAGAGTCAAGAGATGATTAGCTTAGCTTAGCGACTGGGAACAAGGGGAAACAGCTAGCCTGCCTGTATCCAAAGGTAAAAAATAATAATAAAGATAATTAACCTACCAGCACCTACCTCTAAAGGTCAATAATTAACACATTATATCTTGTTCATGTAATCCCAAACAAAAACTCAATTGAAAAATGTTTATGGGAGGTTTGTGCGGGAGTAGCCTATTTCTTCGCTAGCAGCAGTGACTTCTGTGAGGTCTCTATGCTAAGCTAAGCTAACAGACTGCTGGCTATAGCTTCAAATCTAACAGATAAGAGAGTGGTATCGAAATTTCCCAAAATGTCAAATTACTACTTTAAACAAAAGTACTTCTTAATTATGAGGCCACTGATGATAAATCTTGTATTCACTGATCCTTAAAAGATCTCTTTCCTACAGAGCTTAAAAGAACTGCAGAAGTTCATAAATGTGATAAATGACTTGTTTTCACAACCTTCACCTCCAGTAATAGACAAAAGACAGTTGAAATCAAACGAAAACACGTCTGCATGCGACATGTAACAGCTTAAATCAAAGCAATGAGGGCAAAATATACCAAACAAAGGATTGGCCTAAAACGTCCTTAAAGCACTTAAAGCAAAGGTTTCCTTAAAGAGCCATAAAAGAGTTTGTGGTATAACTTTAAAATGCTCTCTTGTAATATTATTATGAAGATCAACCATTATTTCCAATGTATTCCTCATATATTGTACATATGATGCTGTATCATGACTTCTTTTGCTGTACAGAGGTGAATCTACGTGAGGAGAACTAGTCTTTGTTTCAGAGCTGTAGTCTGATCTTAGCATGGTCACGTATGTTACAAAGACCTGGTGGAGGAGTGTCATGCTCATTAATTTCAGTGGGGCCACTTTCCCACAGAACCGGCTCTCTGCTCTGCTGCCGTCTGGGCAGCTTGTAGCAGCTGGAGTCCTGTGGGACAGAAACACTCCTCATTACGCTTCACTTTTCTCTTCTCGTCTCTTTTCTTCTTAAATATTGCTACACAGCTGTCTCTGCCTAGCCAATTCTAACACCTTATTGTTTTATGTGCACTAGTCCTAACTTTCTCCCCCTCAGTGTCCTCTCTTTCTGTAGCTCTGACACACTGACCGCTGCCAGCTCTCGCTCTCCTCCTCATTGTGAAGTAGACTGTCTCTGACATCAGCCTCTGTCTTTAAGGTCTCCTCACTGAGTGGGACCTGGCCCTCTGTCTCTCCATATGGAGGCGATTTCCCCCCCTGCTCTATAGCCATTAGAAAGTGCAAATACATTTCAGCAAATGTTAAATAAACAACCAGATTACTTCTTCACACTCCTGCAACCACTTTGGTCTCAAGTGAACCATAATCTCTGGCATTACAGACTCAGCGGATATAGCTATGTGTTAATCTTTGTCAGGATAATATCCACCACCGGGCAAATAATGGTTTCCAAAAGCTTTGTAATGATGTCTGTGTTTATTCCGTTAATGTTAAAGAATGCTTTCTGAACTCGTGGTAAATCTTGCCCATCCAAGTGCAACAATGAATAATTTTGCAAAATGGAACAAGGTGTGGTAATTATTACCAATACGCAAAACTTGCTCATTGAGGTAACTGTTAATCTTGGACAAATGTAGACAGAGCATGCCAGTGTTTTTTCAGTGACATACCAATTGCCATATTGCCCAACCCAAAAAAAAAAAAAAAAAAAACAGCCATGTCGGAGCGTGTACTAAATAACATTAATATAAAACTTTTGAAGTGGGTTTACTGTGGTTACTGTGCATACTGAATGACTGTATGTCTGCCAGTGCAGCCTCAATCTCCCTTTTACAGCCATCCACAATATTTAAAATGTAATATGTGAAAATTGAAGGTAGTTGTCAGTGGAGTTGTGAGCTATACCCCTTCAATTCTTTCGCATTTTGTTATGTTGCAGCGTTATGCTAAAATGAAAACAGAAAATCTTTTTTTCCCCTCATCAGTCTGCACTCAATATCCCATAATGACAAAGCAAAAACACAATTTCAGAATTTTATGCAAATTTCTTAAAAAGCAATTACTGAAATATCACATTGACATAAGTATTCAGACCATTTACTCAGTGATTAGTTGAACACTTTTGGCAGCGATTACAGCCCTGAGTGTGAGGCTGTCAGGCGCTGTCAGCCTGGATGGGGACAGTTGCTGGACAACCACTTTCAGGTCTCTTCAGTGATTTTCAATTGCGTTAAAGACAGGGCTCTGGCTCTCATAGACTTGTCACTAAGCCACCTCTGCGTTGTCTTGGCTGTGTGCATAGCATCATTGTCCTGTTGGAAGGTGAACCTTCAGCCCAGTCTGAGGTCCTGAGAGCTCCACACAAGGTTTTCATTCAGAATATCGCTGTACTTCTCTCAGTTCAGCCTTCCCTCAACCCTGACAAGCCCCCTGTTTCTGCTTCTGAAAAACATCCCCATAGCATGACGCTGCCACTGCCATATTTCACTGTCGGGATGGCGACTGTGCTCTTGGGAACCTTCAATGGAGCAGACGTGTTTTTTTAGCCTTCCCCAGATCTGCCTCGACACAATCCTGTCTCTGAGCTCGGCAGGCACTTCCTTTCTCCTCATGTCTTGGTTGTGCTCTGATGTGCATTGTCAGCTGTGAGACCTTATATAGACAAGTGTGTGCCTTTCCAAATCATGTCCAATCAGCAGAATTTACCACAGGTGGACTCCAATCAAGGTGTAGAAATATCTCAAAGATGATCAAGAGAAATGGCACCTGAGCCGAAATGCTAGTGTCATAACAAAGGGTCTGAATACTTATGTCAATGCTATATTTCAGTCACTTTGTCACTATGAAGTATTGAGTGTAAAGTGATAAATGAAAAGTGAAAAAATGCTTTTAAACGATTTTAACATACGGCTGTAACGTAACAAAATGTGAAATAACTGAAGGTCTCTGAATACTTTCTGAATGCACTATATATGAACAGCAGAGTTGAGGCAGCCCTACATTAGACCTCCATCCACACTCCCACTCTGTGGTTTCATGTTGACTGCGGTGGCTCACCCCTGGCTGAAAATTTTGGCCTCAAAGTCTGCGGTCTATGGTGTCCAGGAGCAGTGCTGCCCACCACCGAAACCCAGAATACCTCCCACTTCACAAGCCACTCTGCTCAATGTTCCTCCGAGCTTTTTTCATTCATTCTTTTGACCATTGCCATGGCCATGATGATATTCGAGGAGACAAGCAAAACTGCCTCTGTGCTGTCTGCAATAAAAGAATAATTGATGTCTGTGCACATACTCACACACACTTACAAAGAGAGATAAAGATTCAGAAGGAGAGAGAGAGAAAGAGAGATGTGATTTAATCCTCCTCCTTCCAGGCACAGAAGCGTCTCGAAAACACGGCTGTAAAAGAAAAAGGTACAAAACCACAGAAGATCCCTTTCAACCGTTGTTTTACTGCAGTGCATGTTCCCAAAAGTAATCCAAAACAGGCTTTCAGTCTTAATTCAAAACAACTTCACAATCATATCCACTGCTGCACAGTAGCACGATTAGCAAGCTACCCGACTACACACCACCAAACATAAAAAAAGGCACTGATGTGGGTAAAGCTGCCTGGTGCTACTAAAAAGACACAGATGGGTCCAGGCAAAACACATGGCCTTTATTTCAGTCCTTGAGAGTATTAACTTCACAGACCACACTGTGTCTGCAATTCCTCTAGTCCAAGTTTTGAAAAAGTTACATCATGTGAAAGAATAAAAAAAGAAGCAATAAGAAACTCACCTTCCCGACACTCTTCTCCCACAAACCCTGGGCAACATCTCCACTCCAGAGCTGTGACTTGCTTGTATGTAAGCTTGAAGGACGGCCTGATGAGGGTCCTGTAGCTGGAAAAGAACTCGTGGTAACTGACTGCAGGGACACACACATGCAGAAACACAAATGCACGGACACATTCAACAGGCAAATATTCAAGCTTTGTTCTCTTTAGTGTTTTTTTTAATGGAATTTCTGCCTTTGTTCGACAGTGAACAGTTGAGTGGGGACTGGAAAATTAGGGGAGGGAAAGAAAGCAACAAAGGTCCCTAGCTGGATTCAAAGTGGGAATGTTGCAGTTACATGTATTTTACTTGAATATTTCCATTTTATACAACTTTAAGCTTCTCAGTCATTTAAAGGATTCAGTCCTTCCTATTTCAGAAATTTAAAATACTTTAAAATACTTAAAAGGGGCTATTTGTAAGTTTTCTCTGCCGCTGAACGTGGTTTCTTGCTGGGAGCGGGTGGTGGTGATTGTGGTTTGACATGAGCTTTGGCCATAGTTGTCTTTATAATACAAGAGGTGATAATATGCCCTCTAAGCAGCGCTACCTCTTCAGGGCAGATTGGAGGCTGCAGTGAGTCATGAAAGTGACATGGTCAGCCACGGTTAGCTGGTTAGTGTTCTATGACATGAGAGAGAGAAGAGTTAATGCTGGAGACATTTCTTCTAGACTGGTAAGTAAACAGCTGTTATTGCTAAACTTACAAAATGGCTCCTTTAAAGTAAGTTTAATTTCATTGTGTTGATACCACAACTAAAAAAACAGAATGTAGGACTTTCTTCTTCTACCACTGCTAATTAATTTTCATTAAGGGAAATTGTGTAAACACAGCATGAGAGAGATTGCCAAGGTCCCTCAAATCATTAAATCCGCCCCTGCTACCATGAAGGAAGCCCCATATAGGCTATGAGCAGCAAAACAGTGTTATCCTCGCAGACAAAGGAACGAGGTGACAGGAGAAGACGATATGGCTGATGGGAGTAGCAGTGGGGACTGAGTGGGTACAAATACCTGATGACTTTGGAACAAGGTCCGGGCCATCGGCAGCCCTGAAACACTCTCTGCACCGTGGTTTCTGTCCCATTGTGCACTTGACAGGACACTGTTTTGGAAACAGTGTACTGACACCAGTTCCTAAAACATACACGACATAAATGTCTCTTTTATCATGTATAGACTACTGTATGAAAGAAACCATGCATAATCACCAATGGAGGTTATACATGAAGACATTTTTGTTTTTGTTTTTTACAACACCTGCAGTGTACAGGCGCCTTTTCCAGTTGTGCTCACCTGAGTTGGGTACGGGAGCCGGTACCAGGTGGTCCGGTGCTGCCGCTCTGTTCCGATTTGATGCGCTGCCGCTGCACAGCGATGCCTGGAAAGTGATAAACAAACCCAGTTCCCACCGAAGGACAGACTAAAGTTATCCACATGCACAGCGCGTAGAGGAACGATAAAGCCATCATCTCCTTTTGATTCATCCCTGATAGAGACATCTGCAAATACCGAGGGGTTTCAAGTAAATCCCGAAGTTATAAATCCCTCTTTGACAGATCTACAGTATCTAGAATAAGAAGTGTAGGCTACAGCAAGTCTAAGCAAACCCCAATGCAACCGTTAACGAGGTGGTCATTTCGTCTTCCCGACGAGAAGCAGACTGGCCCTCTCAAGAGCTCAAAATGAATGACACGCAGCCTCTTCCTATAGAATAATGTGGGTTTCTGACGTTTGACATAGTGTCGAGGACCGAGGAGTCAAATATCCAGTGTGCGTAAAAAGCGCGCTGAGTGTGAGGGCTGGAGACTGAGTGCGTAAAAGCGCATCTGGTCCGAGTCGAAAACCACCAGTAGTCAGTCTGCATGGGAGCTATAATGTGAACGAGATGTTCAATGGTGAATTCACAGTTACTGAGCTCTAACGCTCTTATGTAATGCTCTTTATTACCCTCATCGATGCATCAATTAACTACCCCATAGCGACTTATTTTAAGTAGGCTATATTCTTTCAGGCCACACAAACCCGGGGTAACAATTAGAGATATGAACAATGACATTATGATCTTGGTCTCTGTTAATTTCCATCACTTTGTCAAGTACCAGATTACTGACTAAATTATCCTCTGAGATTCGATTGCCAATAGCTTAGTTACAACTACACTTAATTATGATGGCAGCACATTTAAGAATTTTAATGAGACCTTGGTCACCGAAAACTGAAGCCAATAATGCACCGTAAGAGATAAACTGCAAAAAGTTTTAGCGACCAGTGTCTGAAAGGTTTTTTTCTTCTTTTTTTGTGCTAGATATCTAAATATATTAGCTAGATATCAGATTATAGATGTTGAAGCTCATTTACACCAAAAATGACAAAAAAATATTGTAGGCTATGTTATTTTATTTAGAATTATAATTTTGACTTAATACTTCACAGACATATTGACATATTACATCAAAAATAACTTTGTCAGCCAGTTGTCTTTGGTTTATTCCCTCATGGCTTTGATTTCGTGAGGAAGATTTCAGATTTATTACCTCATGCCTTTGACTTTGCAAGTAATGCTCCTGACTATAGCACATAAATTTGACTTAGAAAGTGGAATATTGACTTGGGCTGTTACCTCATAAATTGACTTAAAACCCAATTTTGGTTCATTATCTCATAGTTTTGATTTAGCCTTCTAAATCGTATTCTTGACTTCTCATAATTTGCTGAAAGCAAAATTTTGACATATCTTATTATTTTTGATTCACCATGAGTATTAACTCATGCAATTCGTTAGTTCGTTATTTCTTTTTCTTCTAAAATTGACACCCATATACATGCGTGTGCAGACCAAATACAAGTGACTTCAAACTATCATTTTCCTGGTTTTGTTGGTAACCCTCTGACTGGTTCCAGTTGCCAGTTTAGACACAACAGCGGGAATAAACTGGACATGTCCTGGTCAGCAGCGCCCCCTGCTGACACTTTAGGCTCTGTACGGGCTTTAGAAAGAAGGAGACGTGTCCCATTCAGGGTTGCCTGGTTGGACGATTTTCCCGCTGAATGGGGCCACTTTCTCTGGGTGGGTAAAAAAATTTACCTGGTCCGTTACCTGGTTTAACTGGAGCTAACCTTTCTACCAATAGGGCTGTTTCCACCTAGTTAGGTTATGTTCCAGAGGTCTTCAAGGTGTAAGGGAGGCGCAGAGGGAGGGAGGTGAGGTAAAGATACTGTGTGAGGTGAAAGGGACAGGTGTATGCAGGTGATCTAAAAGCAACTTAAAGTTAGTTATTGTTATGCTGCTTATCAACGCCATTAAAAGATGCTGCAACAGCAGTTAAACACAGCTCATGGAAACAAGGCAGGCTAATGTAACACACTTAGAGCCCGATTGCAGAAATATGTATAATTTTATTTTCATTATACTCTCTGATTCTTGTAAAAGTTAAAATCTGTTTATATGAGTCAAGACTTTCAACAAGACTGTAAATGTCTCATATAGCTGTATCCAAAAACGTTGTAGAAAAAAACATTTAATCAACAGTACTAAAAAATGTAATACTGATAGTGAAAATTAGAAACTGGACCACTTTTACCACGAGAGGCTGGGCTTCGCTTTATGCGTCAAATCTGGCAACACCACTCACACTCTCAGGCTAGCTTGATCGGGCAGATGGAGGCAGATAGCACCGGGGGCAACATGGGCGACAAAGCAGAAGTGGAAATGGCAGAAAACCCATTTGAACCTTACATTGAATCCATTCGTCAGCAGCTGGAGGACCAAGACCCCGTTTTTCTGATTGGAGTTATCGTCGCTTTGGCGGCTGTTGTCATCACCTGTGGTAAGAAGCGGGCGTCAGTGCTGAAGTTAGCATGCTAACGTTAGCTTAGCAGGCTAGGCCCACAGCGTTTAGCTTGGCGTAGATAGCTACATAGTGCCAGCTTATTGGAAAGCGGGTTTGTTTTACAAACGGGATCGACATTTGAACTCTACGCTTTGTTTTATATAAGAGTGAGTGCTTCACAGCCATTAGCTGAATTTACGAGCAAGGAAGCTAACTGCTAAGATAAAGCAGACAGCTGTCAGTTGCACAGCTTTTCCCGATGTCATTCAAACTTAGTACGTATTGTTTAACAGACAAGTGTTTTTTTTTACAAGTCGATGATAAGTCAGTGACAAACCTCCCTGTTTTCTCTTTTCAGTCTTTCTAAAGTACTTCCTTAGCAGTAAAACTGTCCAGAGCGCCGTGCTGCTGGTTGGACTGTGTGACTCCGGGAAAACGCTTCTCTTTAGCCGGGTGAGTGGGTGCAACTGATATGAAGTCGCCACGTTGTCTGTCACAGGACTCTCAGCTGGTGTGAGACTGATGCGTGATTAACCTGCGTTGTTAGTGACTGTGCATTTAATGTATTTGCAGCTGCTGTCAGGAAAGTTCAAGCGGACACAGACCTCCATTACTGACAGCAGTGCTCCGTACAAAGCCAAGAACGACAGGGTGAGTCTACGTTTGCATATCATCCTGCCATGATGAACGTGGTTTACAGTTGTCCCCTCTCCCTCTTGTATTCAGGGCAGCACCTGGACTCTGATAGACCTGCCAGGACATGACAGTCTTCGTCCACAGTACCTGGAGAAGTTCAAGTCTGCAGCCAGGTGAGAACAGGACAACCTCCCTGAATAATAGATGCTCATTACTAGTGGGGTAAAGTTGCCAGTACCTGATAGATATTTCTATATCAAGGCTGGTATTAAATTGTTTTCATTATCAATCAATCTACCTATTTTTTATGAAACATTAGAAAACAGTGAGAGCGTCCATCACGGATTCCTAGTGTCAGAGTATCAGTCCAAAACTCAATAATATTTAATGTAAGGCACAGAAATGCTGTAACTTCTTACATTTGAGAACCTAGAGCCATCAAGCATTTGGTATTTTTGATTAAAAACTACAATTTACCAATTATTTTAGTAGCTGATTAATTGTGTCTCTGTTGATTAACTGTTGCAGCTCAAGTATATATATTTTAATCTTGTCATCCATCTCCTCAGAGCGATCGTGTTTGTAGTGGACAGCGCTATCTTCCAGAAGGAAGTGAGAGATGTGGCAGAATTCTTGTATGTCTTGTTGACAGACACTGTGATCTCCAGAAATGCTCCAGCTCTCCTGATGACATGTAACAAACAAGGTGAAAAAGCTCTTCTACCATCAAACATTCATTTCAGTCACCTTTGTTTGTCTTTCCCTAAAACTGCTTATTTGCTCATGTATTTACTGATGTCTTCATTCTTTAGATATCACCATGGCAAAATCAGCTAAACTAATTCAGCAGCAACTGGAAAAGGAATTGTAAGTAAAAAATTAGCTCTTTTATCAGATACTTATCAACATACTATACTTTTGGATCATCACCATTCAGTCATGATATACATGTTCAAATTCTATTACAATTATATTTTAGGCAACTTTCAGTATAATATAAAACTTCCACACATGTTGTATTGTAATAATCATGTCCTGTTTAATTGTTATCATTTCAGCTGTTATGCTGGTGATTGATCTTGTATCTGTTACCCATTGTTTTGGCAGTCCATCTGAGTCCAATTATTTTTTTAAATCTTTTTTCACAGGAACACCTTACGAGTGACTCGCTCAGCAGCCCTCAGCTCTCAGGATGGCTCTGTAGGTGGCAGTCTGTATCTGGGGAAGAAAGGCAAGGATTTTGAGTTCAGCCAACTGCCCATGAAGGTGGAGTTCCTGGAGTGCAGCGCCCGTGGTAGCAAAGGTGAAGAGGGAAGTGCAGACATCGAGAACTTGGAGAGCAGCTTGGCTAAACTGTAAAATGACCAACTCAGCATCCTAAAAAGGCACAGACCTTGGATCAGATCACCTCAACGTCCACTGTCTCTTCAGTAATCAAAGGAGGGATGACAAATGCATCTCGGTGGAGTATCTACTTGACAGGAGTAACCAGTCCGACATGGTCCTATCTGTTCTGACTGTCAATGTAAAACATACAATGACATTGAAGGTAGAAGAGCATTTGAGACATATTCAATGAAAAAACTCCAAAAAGACTGAAAGCTGTTTGTCAGGTTGCTCTAGTGTTGAGAAATGATCATGCGCTTCTTCAATGTCCGTCTTACTGTGAACATCACCACCTTGAATTGCTTTATTGGCTCGATTAGAAAATATTTAGCTTTAAGAAATTTGGGAAACTACATGTGTTGTTTATAATTGCAATTTAAAGAAAAAGTATCATAGGTTATTTCACCATTTTTATTTAAAATGTTTCTCAATTAGTCTGACCTGTGTGCTGCCCTTTGAAAACAGGTGTGAATTGCATTTATTCATTCACTCTGACAGTCAGCGTTGTGCCTTTTTTCTGGTATTCTTATAGAAAAGTGTTTTGCTTGTTTGCAGAATGACGGTTTGAGTGGAAATATTGTGTGAATACAGTGCATTTGCAATGAATGTATGAATTTATTGTAGTCATACAAGAATGAAATGTTGTTTGTAATTGTGGCTTATTTAAAAAAGGAAAAAAAAACTGACGATGTGAAATGTCTGATGCCTGATAGTGATTCAAATGAGGTCCAGAGAGTATAAGGAGAAAGGGTTTTGTTTTCAGCAGAAAAGACTATACAGTGTGGTATTGTAAAAGAAATGGTCACATAGATCAGATTGGGAGGAAATTAAACAGGTAAACATGTATTCATCCTGTAATGATCCACAGGCAGCAAAAAGGATTTAATCATTGACATGTACAGACAAAAAATTGCCTAATAACATAATTATATGGGGGGTTAGTAGGGCGTCAGTTCCCAAGATGCTGCTTTACATTCATTTTAAAAACTGTACCACTGTACCCCAGAGAACGACATCATGTGACAGATCACAGGACTTCAAGCAATTAAGAAGTGTGGCTGTGTAATCTGTGCTGTGAACTGTCTTCAAACATCTTTGGAAAGAGCTTTCAGTTCACTCAGTGCTTTGCTTTCTGTCTGGCACCTGGTTTGGATTGAGATGTATTTATAAAAGAGCAGCAGACTCACTTAGACATGAAATGCTAATTTCTGTTGTCTAATGTGGTAGTATCACAGACGTAACATGTACAAAAATGTAATTAATCCAATGCCAGAGCAAAATATATTTCAAAGGAGGACATTTTTTTAATAGGATAACACAGACACTAAACCAAAGCCAACTTAGCCAAATCCACTTAGTGAAGCTTGCATTAAATGAAACCTCCAAAAACAATTACACATACAGTTTGTTAAATATTGTGTGAAAGCTCATAGAAATCCCTTTATGTGAGGCTTGATTGCTGCTGTAAAGATCTACGTAAGATCAGACGTCACAGTAAGAAGACATGCTGTTTAGACCAAACGTCCAGGGGCCGTACTCGCAAAAACAAATCTTATTGAAAAAATGGGTTATGCTGCCAGTTCCTTACAGAAACAAACACAGGATTGTATTCTCTGAAGAATTTTTAAAAATGCATTAAAACTAAAAGTAAAGAAAGTCAAACTAAGGGTCTCCTATGACCAAAACAAAAGATTTTAAGAGCAGACAGTGAAGTGACTATAGGTGAGACAGAGGGTAGACAGTCAGACTACAGCTCTGATCAGCTACTACCACACAGTGTTCTCCTTTCAGCACAGCAGGGCACAGCCAGTTCACCTTGTCCCCATGACTGATGCTCAGTTTGGGTCCAGACTTCTCCTCTGTCACGTCCTCTGCAGCTACAGCTGCTGCTGCAGCTTCACCCTCCACTTCAGCTGCTTCTTTCTCTGCTTCATCCTTTTGTGGGGTCTTCGCTTTATCCTGGGATTGTTCTTTCCTCTTTGTCTTGCCCTTGCCCTTCCTGCGTGGAGCTGCTGTCACTCTGGTTTTGGCTTTTGCGTCTGGAGCCACCACTGGGTGCTTACTGAGGTCCCACAGGGCGACCTGGCCATCATTCCCCCCACTGATGAGCCAGTATGGGTGGGAAAGGAAACTAACAAAGTGGGCTTGTGAAGCTCCCTGACTGTGGGCTTTGACTGCTCCCTGCTGTTCCAGTTTAGAACCACTGCCAATCCGCATCAGATGCACCCGCCCGTCTTCTGCTGCGCAACCCAAAATGTTTCCACAACTCGCCACAGAAACACAGTGAGCTAGTGGCGGGTTGAAAAGCTGACCAGGGCGCTGCTGATGGTCACCTTCATCCTCTGCTACATCCTGAAGATTCAGCGTCCAAAGCGGGCGAGTCTTCTGCAGACCCCACAGCATCACCTGAAGCAGGTCAAACAAATTAGAGAGAAATGCCATCAAATTTAGTCTCGGATGATATGAAAAAACATACATACAGCAAACGGTCTTATGTCTCCTCTCTCTCACCTGCATATCCAGTCCAGCAGACACCAGGTTGTTGGGTCTGTGAGGCCTGAAAGCCACAGAGGAGCAGATGTTAGTGTGTCTGCGAAGAGTCCTACATACTTTTCCCCCAGGAAGCTCCAGCACCCGCACTGCCCCAGAGTCATCAGCCACTGCCAGGGCTGAACCTGTCTCATTCAATGCTAAAGCATTGATCTCTTCCTCTCCTGCACCCTGAAACTCCTCCATGGGTCCCTTCAGGTTCCTGGGGTCGAGTACACTTACTGTGTCCCCATGTGACACATACAGGTGGCCCGGAGCTGCAGGTGAAAACACAACACTTGTGCTGTCCTCTTCCCCGGGAAGGGTGAGTCTGCCTATGATGGTTCCTTCTTGGCTCCAAACCGTCACCTCTCCACCCTCAGAGCCTGAAGCGAGGAGACTCTCAGGGCCCAGAGAAGCTCCAACACACAGGATGGATGTGGAGTGGCCCTCAGACCACTGCCTGGCCATGGTGACCCTGCAAAACATATCAACAACTTATTACTAGAGAAACTAGAATTACTTCTTTGCGATTGTATGTCTCCGCCACTCAGACTAGTTTCAGGTTTTATCCCTGTTTATCCAGAACTATTTAAAATATTAACCATTTGTGTGAAATTTTGTCATATTTGCTGTGTGAATTCTTAAGGTTAAGGTTAAGAACATGTTTTGTGCAGTCACAGTGACCTTGATCTTTGACCACCAAAATCTAATCAGTTTATCTTTGAGTCCAAGCGAACATTTGTGCCAAGTTTGAAGAAATTCCCTCAAGTCATTACTACAATACTGTATTCACGAGGATGGTACTGATGAACCCGCAAAAATAATGCCTACACCCTGTTCTGGTTCATTATATCTCACTAGCTACAAACCAACCAACCAATCAAAAAAGGGCTACAAACCAATCAGTATAGAGCTACAAATCAACCAATCCGAATAGTACTCCAAACCTACCAATCGGAATAGAGCTATAAATCAACCAATATGAATAGCACTACACACCAACCAATCAGAGTAGAGCTGTAAATCAACTAATCAGAATACGGCCACAAATCAACTGATCTGAATAGCACTACAAACCAACCAATGAATCAGAATACAGCTACAAGTAAACTAACAAATCAGAATATGACTACAAACCAACCAATCAGATTACATAGAGTAAAGTAGGTCATACTTGGCTAGTCAGACTGACTGACAAAGTAAGGACAGCAATATATATAACCATAATCATGTTTTTCTTTAGAGAACAACTTCTGGCAGCAAGACAAGTAGTTAAAATATATATAAATGTTTAACAAAAGTGCTTTAATGTGTGGTTTTCTGATGGTTTCTGCGTCTTTTAATGGAAACTGACTCGCATACAAAGAGAGGGGCACTCAGTTTGGTTACGTTTTAATTACCAAGTATCCAGGAGTTTGTATTTTAAGAAGAAAACAGATATGAAACCAGATTAAACCAGATAGTATGTGCTCTGGCTCTGCTGACTCGTTAGCCTAAAATCTAATATGAACTTCATGTTCATCTGAAGGTCTGGCTGCAGTAACAAACATGTTGTTGTCAATGTGCAGATTACAATAATCTATGACATGACAGTGCTGTGACATTGTCGAAACGCCAGGACCAGAGAATTACAGTACCTTAGCGAGTGCAGTCAAAACTCCAGGCTGCCATGTGCGACTGAGTCGCTATTTGATTATGTCACAACTGGGGGACAAACACCGGGCCCTGAGTATTGCCTTCCAGGCAGTGGTCATGGCAGCCATAAAAATTGTCGCGTCAAATAGCTAATTTTTACTTTCCGAACTATTAATACAGATCCATTGTATATTTTAATGTGTAAAACTTGAAATACTTGTCTGGTAAAAAGTTGTTCCCTTTTTGTACAAAGTTGGAGCGAACTGCCTCCTGGAAGGTTTAATTCAGGGTATTGTTTTTACTCTCTATTTGGCAAATGGGCAAAACTGATATTCCAGTGTTTTACTGTCTTTTACACCTTTAATTTCACTGATTTACTGTGCTCCGTGTGATATATATCTACAACAATACTGAGCCGCTCAGAAGTCGTGAAACAGAAATACAGAATATACGCATACACACATACTTCCATACATCCATACATAATTTGTGTACACAGATTAGGAACCTCTTCACCTTCACCTGCATCACCTTCTGATCACCATTCATTGGGTTTACAAAATGCTCTTTAATTCATTAGGGAGACCTTGTTTGTTTATTTTCTGGAAAGGGGCTACAGCACATCCACTTATAAACTGCTTTATTAACATTTGATATTTTTTCAATTTTGTACTTTAAATAATAATATCTTGCATGGGTGTGCCCTGTTCAAATAACATGTTTTGGTAATAATGTGGCTTTGCAGTATGACATCAAATGGTGGAGTTTCTCAATTTCTAATGAGCCATTAGTAAAGGTTCGTTAGTCACTTACAATTAAAAATTTTAATTTATTGAGTTTACTATTACTACTACTATTCACATTTGAGATGTCAAAAATATTGGCATATGTATTTTCTTAAAGAATGACTCAAAACCATTAAATTATCAAAATAGTTGCTTTTCAAGAGAGTAAGTTATCCAGCAGTCCATTGGATGGGTTTCCCTAATGAATTCAAGAGCTAAAAAGACAAAAGTGCAATGCTGGAGGAGAATTTTCTACAACCTGGTAACACAAAATGATTGTCTTGCAGTATATGAACAAATAAAGAGTGAAATAGAAGCCAGCCGCAGTAGTAGTATGCTTTACACTGAAAGCAACACAGTATCAGTTCCTACACATTCTGCAGAAAATGAAAAGGAAAACCACAGAGGACACAGAGGAGGCAGATCATCAAATCATTGTTCAGCATGGCCCCACTCGGCCTTCATTTCCACAATGGCTGCTCTGCGCTGATTCATCCAAAGCTGTAGATCTGATGAGTGTGGTCCATTTCTGGGTCAGTGAGCAGCATGCCATGCTGCTGCACTGAATAGGGGACGGAGAGGAGAGGCCATCGTTTTCAGACCCTCACCCGAAAACACACACAAACCAACTACACACCCCCCCCCAACACACACATACACTGTCAACCCAACATTCAAGTGCTGACACATACAGTATATCCCCACAAAGCAGCAGCAGTTCACAGAGCATAGCGAGTGTAAGTATTTGCCTTTTTCTGTTCATAACCTGTGCACAATTTCCTCTTCATAATGTCGTTATAGTGAGAAGTTCCTCTTGCTCTGTGCTAATTTATTGTGATGCTGAAGTTGCTAAAACATATAAGAGGGATTTTGTGAGTGGTTTTGACAGTTTGTGCTCTATTTAAAACCAGGCTTCTTGTCAGTTATACAACTCCTCCCAGACGCATTTCTTTGTTCAGCCTTTAAATCCAGCTTGTTAGAGTTGTAATGTCTGATGTATGAGGTAAGTGGCATCTTTTGTAGAGTTAGATTCAAATTGTGCTTAAATTAAAGATGTAATATGTGAAGCTTAATTTTTTTTTTTAAATATGGAACTCAACTAGAAATTTCCTTGTTTTATCCTAATGAATCTGATGTTCAACAGCTTGAACAGGGTCTCCAGTATCAGGGGGAAGAAGTGCGTTAACATTGTTGCAATGGTTGAGATGGCAAACAGAATTCACATTAGTAACAGATGAACTAGCTTTGTCTGAAACTGGACTTTTTCCAGACACTGTTTAGTGAGATGAAGACTCAGTTGGCTTCCTCATATGAACACCTGCTTATTGTTTCAAGACAAGATTGAAAAATTGCGAACCTGTCCTTTAAGATAATCCTTTAATCCAATAAAGGTAGTTCTAATCCTGATTTTTCTTTTCAGAGGACTTGGAGGTACCCAGAAATATTCACACACCAGAGAGAATGAGGTCACCCTATTTCCCAGCGAGGTCGGTGCTTTTTCATAAGGAGCCAAACGGAGTGACGTACAGAGTCCCAGCACTGCTCTACTTGTCACACTCCAGGTCCTTTCTGGCCTTTTGTGAGGAGAGACTCAGCCCATCTGACTCTCAGGCTCACCTGCTGGTCATGAGGAAAGGCACTTTCTACAGAAACTATGTAGAGGTCAGTGTTGTTCACTGGGTCTGAAGGCTGTAAAGCCCTGTAGATTGAAGACATGTACTCTGCCGTCATTGTAAATAATTAAAAGTAAAAGTGCTTGTTTAAAAATCTAGTTCAACTATGAAGGAGTTCATTTGAAATGTACAGCTCAACATTTAAATTTCTGACTTAAAAGTTGTCCAACAAGTACATATTCACAGAGCAGGTCAATTAGAGTAACCAGCTTTTTTGGGGGCTTATAATGGAACACGTGTTAGCTTATACTACCAAAGCACAGTCATGTTACAAAGGTTACAGTCTTGACCTTCAGACACTCAGGAGACAGACTAAGTAAAAAGCCAGTGAAGGGACCTTGAGTTATTTTGTCAAAACCAATATGTGAAAATACGTGTTTTGTAATTTGGGTGGAACAGCCAAGTGTTGCTCGGTAGCTTTGTTTTTTGTTTGTCTTTTTCTATTCATTTCTAAATCATTTCATTGTATCTGTTCTACTGCTATCTACTACGTCTTCCTTTCTAATCTCCGTTCCTTCTCCCTTGTGCTGCTCCAGTGGGAGGACATGCGTGTCCTGGGCACTGCTTTCCTGACAGGCCACCGGTCCATGAACCCGTGCCCGGTGTATGACGAGTTCACAGGCACCCTCTTCTTGTTCTTCATCGCTGTTCTGGGCCACACCTCGGAGTCCTATCAGCTGGTGACCGGCAAGAACGTGACCCGACTCTGCTACATCTGCAGCACAGACGACGGAGACACCTGGACTGCTGTCACCGATCTTACTAAGAGAGTCATAGGAGACACTATTAAAGGTCAGAGAATTCATAAAGGGAAAATCCAACCTAAAACAGACTTCCACTGTGTTACTGAGTTTCCACTGAGACTTAGAAAACAGTCTTATTAAGATGAAAATCAGAGCACCAAGATGTGAAATTGTGACACTTTTTGATTAAGATATTACACCCAGATATAATTTAAGTGAGTACTGTAAAACTGAAAATACCCCTTCATGCTTATGCTATCCTGGGAGTTCTAAACATAGGAGTCATAACACGGATTATGAGAGAATGGGTATCCAGCCCTTCCTATATGGGACCCCCAGACTGTAAGAGACACAAATGACAGTTGGAGTCACAGGTGTGTCGTTTGTAGTCTCTTTGTAGCTGCCTGATCTCTCGGGCCCCTAGGCTTGTGCCTGGTAGGACTGTTCTTTAATCCATCCACGGACACTCACAAGATGAATCTAAGGGGTCGCCAGATGTTCACAAAACAAAACAAACAAAATCCTTTAACACAAAATGAATTTGAATTTTTTCCTAATTTTTTATCTATGAATTTCTGAACAGCTGTACGCCTTCATACTTCTATAATATTATGTGATGACTAAACCTGGTAAAGTTAAGTATCATATATCGATGCTGTTTTTCTGTTAAGTTAATCAGTGCCATTCATGTGTATCATGTGAATGTGTCACTAAATTTTTGTATCTCCCTTTTCCTTCCCTCCTTGAAGAATGGGCCACCTTCGCTCTCGGTCCGGGGCATGGTATCCAGCTGAAGTCAGGTCGCCTGCTCATTCCCGCCTACGCTTACCACATCGAGTGCAAAGAGTGCTTCGGACACCTCTGCCAGACCATTCCCCATGCCTTCTGCTTTCACAGTGACACCCATGGGAGAACTTGGCGATTCGGGGAGGCGGTGCCGGGCCCAGAGAGCGTGGAGTGTCAGATGGTGTCTGTGGATGAAGAGGATGGGACTAATGTGTTGTACTGTAATGCCCGCAGCCCTCTCGGCTACAGGGTGCAGGCCCTCAGTCTGGATGATGGAGCTGTGTTTCAGGAGGGGCAGCTGGTGCAGCGGCTGGTGGAGCCTCGAAATGGTTGTCATGGTAGCATTGTTGGATTTCCTGCCCCATTACATCTATGCCAAAGTCGTAACCATCACTTACACCAACCTATACACCGCTCCAGACACAGGACGTCCTGCATGACTCACTCTAATCACACCACCTCTCCCTCTCCAAACATCACTTCTGCTTCCACCAGCCCTTTGTCACCCAATCACAGTGCACCTCCAGATTTCCTCACCCCCACCTGGGTAGTGTACTCCCACCCAACATGGACAACTGCACGCAGGGATCTGGGCGTATTCCTCAGCTTATTTCCCCGTGACCCAGACAGCTGGCGCGGCCCCTGGGTGATCTACGAGGGCCCCAGCGCCTACTCTGACCTGGCCTATCTGGAGCTGCCTCCCTCGCCTGGGGCACCACCCGCCGTGGCCTTCGCCTGCCTGTTCGAGTGTGGTACTAAAACAGCCTACGATGAAATCTGCTTCAGCATCTTTACCCTGTACGAACTCATTGATAATCTGCCTCGAGATGTGCAGCTGGGAAATGACGGCGACGAGTGTGAAAGACAGCAGAGACAGGAATCTGACGCAGGTCGGTGTAGTGGACATGATGCTCAAAGAACACCAATTCTCCAACAGGTGCCTCACGTGAAGAAGAGGAGAAAGAAGAGCAAGTTGACTGAGATGTGCTCTGTGTCTTAAAAGCTTGTAATAGAGTTATAGTTTTCTTCCAATAATTGCCTTATATACACCACATCCACCATGTATTACAGAATATCATAGAATATTTACAAGAGAGATTGTTCTTATGAGTAATGTAGGTTTTGTAGTGTTACTCAGCTGATTTCAGTTACATTAACTGCAACCAAATCAGACTCAGAAGTGATGGAAAAGCCTTGTACATATTTTAGGTTTTTGTTTTTTGCTGATCATCAGTCAATTATGATTTGATAGAACACATGAGGAGTCATTAAAATTTTCCAAACCCTTAATTTTTTTCTCCATTATTGGTAGTATTTTGTGAGTAATTCTGGTTAAAGCTGAAATCATTATTAGACTAATCAAATATTTGATCAACAGAAAAATAATTCAGTTTCTCCAGTGTGAGGATTTGCTGCTTTTGAACTGAGAATCTCTGTGCTTCGGACTGTTGGTCGGTCAAATCGCAACGTTTGAACGCACAACTTTAGACTCTGAGGAATTGTGATTGTGAAAATAATACGCCAAATTAATCAGTAGTGAAAGAATCATTAACTGCAGCCCTAATGATGATTCAAACTGGAGCCAAACAAAGCAATTTAATAGGAAAACAAGAAACTAATCACACTATCAGAAGCAGATTTATGCCTGTGAGTTATCAGGTTTAGGAGTTAGTTGCTGCTTTGCAAAACATGGAGGAACATCCAACATATTTCTGAAATATTAAGACAGACATCCACTTGATCGGCCATTTTAAGAATTCCCAGAGCGTCTTCTCCAATTTCCTCTTCCTCTTTCATTGGTTATCAAGATAACTTAGCCAGTGTCTCTGGGCTAAACACAGACAACGACAGTCGACAGAACTATCTCACTGCAAGATGCAACATTTGTGCAAATTATGGTGACACTGCTTTGTAAACTGTTTTCAAGGTCAAGAAACAAAGGAGAATTATGTCTTTCCACTCTTACACGTCTTGGTTTCAGGTCCATGAAGAATTTAAGAACTTTTACTTAATTTCAATATGTAGATATTTAGATTTATTTCCTGTGCGAATATTCTGCAGATGATTATTATGATGAGCTCATTTTTTCTAGTTGCGCTCTTGATGTTGCATAACTTGACTCTACAACGTAATCCTAGATCTTAAACAGTGTAGATTTTGTGTTTAAACTCCCCCCCAAATTGCCAGTTCATGTTTAATTTGGCTCAGTGAAACACACTGTGGACCAGGCGCGGCTGCAACTCATCAAGTTCACGTATTAATCACACCTGCTTCATGAGCAGCAGCTCTAATGGGATAACATTAGAAACGAATCATTTCTTCTTGTGAGGGTGTTGAAACAGTTGGTGGCTGACAGCTTAAGTGGGTTGCATGAGAGTGTATGAAGAACAGAACCAGATAAAGTGTAGCGGTTTGTTTAGTTAAGAGGAAAAGAATAAACAGATCGTGCCAGGAAGACAGCAGGATCTGGACAATCTCTTCTCTCTGCTTCCCCTCCTCCTCGTTATATAACTCCACACTGACAGGAGGGTCATTTCCCTGTTTGGACTCTTTCACACAAGTGGTTTTTCCTTTTCTCCAGCATCTGTGTTCTACAGCGTAATACGATGGGTTTGAGGATCATGGTTTTTCTGGCTGTGTTAACAGGGGTAACTGGGAGCCCCAGTGTGACAACCAGACCTGAGTCTGACTCAGCGGACATGTCAGCTCACCCCAACAGTGTACCAGAGACGGTAGAGGAAACAGAGGTCATTGGGCAGGTGAGAAGGAACTCCCTCCGACTGGTATTGGTGCATAATTGTGTTTTCTTTTTGCAGGTTTTAACAAAGTGTTGTGTAGCTAATCAGTTGCATTGCACATGTGAAGTATCCGCCTGCTCAAGTTGAACTCAACAGAGTGGTGCCTTGCAAGAAAAATGATCTGCACGCAAAAAAATACATGTTAAAAGACGGATATGTATCTTTGCTGCAATCATTATTACAACACAACCTTTGTGTAGATGGTACAAAAGCCATTATAAGCTCCAGTCAAAACACTGAGCTCTCCTTACCAACCACCATCTTACAAAACGCTGACTGCAGATGCTAACTGTAGAGGTCAAATTGTGCTAAAATCAAAGTAATAAATACAGTATGTCTTTCACAGGGGTCAGTCATTTGGGAGAAACCTTAACTCTAACTGCAAAGCCAGTGTAAAATATCCAAGTTCTGCTTTGCCCCATGAAATAAAGCCTTATTGTCGAGTCACGGTTGATGATGGGCAGAAGAGGCGTCTAAAGGAGGGACGGCTGTCATGTCAAAGTCCAATAGTGTACAGTTGAGTAGACAGACAGTTTTCAGCTCTTCCACTTGTTCTTCTTGGCGGGCAGCTGCCCTGTAGCCTCTAAGTATTTGTGGATGAGCTCATCCTGTGTGACTGGAAGGCAGGGCTGATATCTGCTGTACTCCATAGTGTACTCGCCTTTCCCCTGAATAAACAATGACAGAACATGTTAGTTTATGAAAACTGTAATGAATTATGGAAGTGGTTGCTTTCTCTTCACTTCATTCACTTTACAGTTTCAGTTTGATTTCCTCACTACAAAGAGTCCTCTGCCTAAATCTAGCTGAGAGAAGAGAGGAGCTGATCAACGTGACAACTATTCCTTCTATTAGTGTTACTGCTGTGAGCTCCCAGCGATAACATTTCTGGGCAGCAGAGAGGGACTTGTGCACTTTAGTGGCCTGATTGTCACTTCACAGGCTACACAGAGGCTAGTGCAAAAAAAAACAAAAAAAAAACATGTATTTGTAATTGCAGTCAATCATCCTCCTCAACTGATGCTAGAACTGAACGTCCAAGAAGTAAAGCACAGTGCTTAGCAAATATTGGAAAGTTTAATAACCAGTTTTATACTGAAACTGATACTGATTGACATAACATTCACATTTCCTTTTTTTTTTTCTTTTTTTTTTTTCTAAGAAGCTCTGACTCGTGTGTCTCATTTTCATGTCCCCACTTCTGAAACCTACATGCTTGCTCCTGTTGATGCTCAACATGATTTGAACTATACTGGACTGCAGAGTTTAACAGTGTTTAGTTTGGACTTACTTCAGTACAGGAGCGCAGCTCTGTGGCGTAGCCAAACATGTCGTTTAGTGGAATCTGTTGGGAGAAACAGGCTGAAATTACTCAAATATAAAACGGTAAAAGGATAATGTTAAAATATTGTGAACTAAAAGACTGTGGCTGCATGTGAATATCATTTACAATGTGGACTCACATCAGCATACAGAGTGAAGTATCCCTCAGCCCCGTCCTGTCCTGTGATGACACCATGCCGACGGTTCACACCAGAAATGACTGCTCCCTGAAACTCCTGAGGTGCTACAATTTCCACCGACATGATTGGCTCCAGGATGATCGCGTTGGCCTTTTCCATAGCTGTGGAGAGAACATTGAAGGCCACACACATGAAGCAGACCCAGAATTAAATAAAATGAAACGACAGCATGTCAGATCTGAAGTCAACTGAACACTCACCTTGCTTTAGAGCGCCCTCTCCTGCACGGATGAAGGAGACCTCATTGGAGTCGACCATGTGATGCGCTCCGTCTTCCAGGAGGAATCTGACTCCCGAGATCTTGTGCCCGCTCAGGGGTCCCTTCTCACAGGCCTCTCTGAAGCCCTGCAGCACGATGGGAAGAAATGCTTTTGCTTTGTGTTGAAATAAACTTTATTCTCTTTCAAACATTTCACACGTTCATAGCTGACTGTGACCACGTGAAAGTCAGGAAAATTACCTTTTCGACAGCGGGTACAAACTGCTTTGGGACGTTCGTACCGACGGTCTGGTCGTCAAACTCCAGCTTTGTGGAATGCTCTGACTCCAGAGGCTCAAGGACCCCGATAACTTTACCGTACTGCCCAGAGCCACCACTCTGCTTCTTGTGGGTGAATTCAAACCTACAGGAAACAGGACACAATATCCATGTATTTAGGCAGGGTGACGTAGCGGGACCATGTCATCTTTGGGCCATTTTATTGGAGTGTCATCTGCTTTAAAAAGAAGTAATCCAGATATTAGTCAGCTACTGTTTTTAATTGATTTTATTGAGGCAACTGAGGAATCAGTATTTATTACTATTTATACTAATCCTAACCCTTTAAAAATGGATAGTGTCCCAAAAGCAGTACGTTACACTCCAACCTAACCTATCAAATTGATTTCTGATTGATTTCTTTATCATCTAATTGCAAAAAGTCAAACAATGCTGCAGCAAATCTGACTGATCCTGGTATTACTTTTTATAAGGGTCTATTTGCTTGCACTGCGTGTTCTGTCAGGCTGATACGGGAGAACAGAAAAGAGCTCTGTGTCTTTAAAAAGGGGCTGTCCTCAAAGAGCTCTGGTGTCAAAGGAAGTGGGAAGTAATGTTTCCACTCGCATGAGGAGCAGCTGACTCTGAACACTGAACAGATAAAACTTTCCACCTGCCAACTAATCGGCAGGGAGTGTCAGCCTTCCAGCTCCAGGCAAGATCAGACTCCTTTCATCTAATTTACTTCACATTTTTCAGCTGTGCACCTCTTCACTCTCACCCCTGTTACTTCTGCATATTTGCTTCCCACTTTCCTCAATGGATGTTCTCCTTGTGTCTAAGGCTTTTTCTTATCTAGATATAAACTGATCTAAGGGAAAAGGCTCCACCCTGCTGACACCTGAGGGTCAAAGTACTTCAGGGACTGGAAGCCCATCCCTGTTTCTCATTTTCTCCGTTCTCTTCATCATCTCCTTTCTCATTGTCCATTTCTGGAAAAACAGAACAAAGTACCAATAGGATTGGAGCCTGAGGAGGATGTGATGGCGACTGGCAAGCTGAACCCCAATCACTACCCCGCTCAGAGGGCAGCCAAGGTGGTCCAACACTACCTCAACACCCGCTATGGCTCACCATACAGGGTGTTCGGACTGCAGAAGGTCCACAGCGGGAACGCAGAGGTCAGTCGAACTTTACTATTGAAATATGAACAAACCTTTAACCGTTATAGCTATGTAAGTAAATACAGAATAGTGATGGAATACAAGCTCTGATTATGGTTCACTTCCCTTTCAGGATGTGGCAGACTCTGGAAGAAAGTATCAGTTGGACATCACGGTACAGGACGTCATGAGCAAAGTAGGTTTTTTATGTGTTTTATTATTTATTTTTTTTTTTTTAGGGGTTTTTTTGTTTTTTTTTCATACTTTGAGACAGGGGTCATCTCATGATTTAGATACAGACAGACACTCCTCCATCAGAAAAAGAACTGAAAATGAGCCACAATTATCTCGGTCTCTGACCAGATGTTAAAAACACCCTGAAAATAGAATAAAACTACAAGTTTAATGACAAAATTTATTCCTGATCAGATCATAAAAAAACCCTTTCACCATCCTGAAGTGAGGGATTTACTTTACTGCTCCTTTGTGTTTGTCTTTGAAGACTTTTTTGCATCTAAATTGACGGGTATAGACAAAATCTCTGTTTAACTTCCTGCATTTACCCTCAACATTTCAAGACTTCATAGCACTGCGTTCACAATGTGTTCATGAAAGACGTTTTAAGCAAACTGTAGGCGTGAAGTTGAAGTTTAAAATACACAGCTGAATAATCTATGACTTCAGAGTGAGCATGTAGGTTTGACAAGATTTACTAAAGAGCAGACAAAAGGAGGCTCACATTTTGTTGTATGATTAACAGTGTGGTGCAACACTGAGTCACTAGCTGCCGTGGTAACATCGGGAGTACGCCTTTGCTCTGTATGCCCTCCTCCGCTTCTTTCTCATGCAACCTGCCTCTCTTCTCTTCTATCTATTCATCCAGAGTACAGAGAAATGCTCCGCAGAGGTTTTTTTTCCAAAGGGGAAGCAGCAGGAGCAGAGCTCACCCCAGGTCCAGGCCTCGAGTGAGGAGCTCCGAAAAATCGACACAAACGCTCAAGAAGAGGCCTTTTACCAACAGTACAAGAACCAAAGCCTGCTGTCAGCACATTTACCTGGTATGTGCAATAAAACAAACTGCAAATTGTTGCTGGTAATGAACATACTCATAGTCAAGCTGTTGCACAACGTTAACCGTCTCAGATTGCAGCATTTTGGGTTTTCAACATTGTTGGAGGTTTGTGGTTTCTAACTGAACTCAGTGTCCCTCTTAATATGATTAACACAACAAGAATGCCTGTCCTCGCTGGTCTTGAAACTGTAAACTCCTGTACACCACAAGCGCACACACAAGACCATGTGCGACTTTTGAACCCCAGACTTCCTTTGTAACACACTTAACGTTCTGACCAACAGATAGCTACGGTCGCATTGAGCCTGAGATGGAGCCTCTGTGGCACCTTGGCTCTGTGGCCTCCAGCTTCACCATGCTGAACGAATCAACTGAAAACACTCTGTACAACATGGCTCAGGTGGCCAACATCACGCAGTTGGTAGGTTGTTTTATCCGTTGTCGGGTCCACTTGTGAATCCTCAATTGATAAATATGGAAACAGGATTTCTGCTAACCAAATGTGGACCTTTTTAGACATGTTATTTTACATAGCAATAACAAATAGTTGTCTCCGTGACCGTTTAATCTAGTCAATACATTTCAGTCATCAGACATACAAGGCCGGTTGTTGTTGTGACCGAATACGCTGCTGTTTACTCTGGAGGCTGGGGCAGGAAGGAGGCTGCACACAGGCTGAGGATTAAGCCAGTAACATCTGTATCTAATACAGATGTTTCTATCATTTTTCTCTTGTCTGCTGCAGGAAACTGAGAACGACCAGCTGAAGTTTGACTATCACATACTGCTGCATGAGATGGTGTCCCAGGTAACCACTATAGTATATTAAACTTTTAACACACTTGGTGATCAAGTGTTACCAAATATTTAAATTTTATTTTAACTATATAATGACTGCAGAACCAGATGGCTACCATAACTTATAAATGCCCACAGCTTTGTCTTATCTTATTCAGACAAATATGTAACAAAGGAAAAAATTCAGTTAAATAATTTCATAATGAAACGGAAGAAAAAGCTGATTTATAACATTTGTGAAGCTGTAAACAACAAATGTTTCATATATTTTCTTGATAAATGTTTAAACTGATTGTTTAGCAGAATAACCGGCTAATGAAGCAGCTAGTAATTTAAGCACTAGCGGCATCTTGCAGTAAATTGGTCTGGAACGTTAGTGACTTGAACAATGAGTATACAGTTCCCTTTTGTGAGGACCAGCGTAACTACCTGATATGTCGTATTAATCTGACAATCTGTGTTTGGTTTTATGCAGGAAATCATTCACTGGAAACTGCTGTTCAGCTGGTCTCCGTCAGAGGGAGTTAAAGTGCTGCAGATGGAGAAGCTTCCTCACTGCCATGACTGTGAAAAACCTCCAAATACAAACTAAACTGCTGACGTTCATCGCACTGCAACTACGACCAAAAACAAAACCTTGATGCTCACATCTTGTGTTCAGGGGTGGGGGGAATCAGCTGTTGACGCTTGCAGCATAAAACTTTTTGAACTACAGAAAGGTTGAGTTTGTACTATCAGGAATCAGATTAATCCATCCTACATAATGATATGATATGCTTTAATTGTTCTGTACTCTTGGTTTAAGCAACCGGAGTGTTTAACCAAAATAAAGTGTTTATACCTATTGTTGCTCAGTAGAGTGTGTTTGTGTGTACGTCTGTGTGTTGGGAGGTCAGGACTTACGGTACAGGATCAGTGATCGTCTCTCTGAAAGCCACTTTGGGCTTCCCCATCACACAGGGACAGTTGTATTCCCTCTCCATTCTCTGAAACAACAAACCAAAACAGCTGTTCGGTAAAAAAGTAGTTTTTGAAAACTGTCCATAGAAAGGTTTATAACCATGTCACATTTGGACAGAGTTTCATTTTAAGATGTGATTTTTTTTTTTTTTTTGGCATTTATAACAGATTAAATACCACTGGCATGTGTCAGTGGACCTGTCTCACCAAAGCATCGCAGAATTAGTCTGAATTATTGGAGGATATTTTGTTTTAAACATACAGAATGTCCTTGAGCTGCACAGTGTCTGACCAGGTACCTGGGAGTAGATTTCCAGATGCAGCTCGCCCATTCCTGAGATGATGGTTTCTTTGCTCTCTGTGTCAAAATGAACTCTGAACGTAGGATCTTCCCTGGTGAAACGGTTGATGCCTTTGGAGAATTTGTCCAGGTCATTCTGTGCGGATAAAAGATAGTAAAGAGTTATAGATGCTATTTAGACTCTAGCATTAGATTTTTAAAAGTATATACAGGTAAGTTTAAGGATCTTTCTACCTTATTGGTTGGCTTCATTGACATAGAAATGACAGGCTCTGGGATGTGAATTGACTCCTGTGGGACAAGAAGGTAACAAATGAACACTGGATGCTCTTTATATCTTGGAGTATGGAAAGAAAAGAGTCCTTTCCATTCCAACATCTTCAAATGAGCAGGCTTTGGCTCTTTTGCCCAGGGAAAACATTAACACTACTCACCATTGAGAGGTTAGCGCTGGTCCTGGATGTAAAAGTGTCTCCACTGGCACAGTCAATCCCAAACAGAGCACAAATGTCTCCTGCATAAACCTCATCCACATCCTGAAACAGCAGGGATAGAAAGGGACCAATAGAAACAACAGGATGATCTACATGGCTTATTTTTAATAACTGAAGTATATAAACAAACATTGTTGATTTTCCATCTCTTGTTTTGATGCAAGGCGGGTGGAAACATTTCACTCTGGTGTCACAGGGGATGTGGTTGTTATCTACACACTTCACTGGAGCTGAAAGAGGAACCTAACCGTTTTGACCAGTCATGTTGCTCTGCTGTCTGAACTGCAAAAACCACAGATGGAAAAATTGTCCCCCCTGATAACTTGCTGACGTGTGCTGGTTTGCTCTCACCTCCATCTGGTCGGCATGGAGGCGCACGAGCCTCTGAACTCTGACCCTTTTGCTTGTGCGTGTGTTGTAGATGTATTCCCCTTTCTTCAGACAGCCCTGGTACACTCGCACATATGTGAGCTGACCGAATCTCCCTGCCTGTTAATGAGAAAGACCACAGGAAGCAACAAAGCATGACCCAATGAGACCTTCCTGTTGAGCAAAACTGCAGAAATGAAGAAGACGCTATAAGAACATCAGAAAAAACAGATTTCAAACATAGCTCACCTCCAGTTTGAAGGCCAGACCAACATAGGGATGTGTATCATCTCTGGTTGGGTCCATTTGAATCTTTGATGTTTCACTGGAATCTCTAACATGGTGAAAAACCCACAAACATTAAGAGCACAAAAATTTCTCCAGAAAGGCTTTTTTCAGATATAAGGATCTGACATTGATTTAATTTAATCTACTGTTACAAGACATTGTATACAAACTGACAGCCCTACTCACTCGTCATTGAGGGTAGCATAGTTCTTCACTTCAGTGGGGTTCGGCAGGTAATCCAGGACAGCGTCTAGCAGAGGCTGGACGCCCTTATTTTTCAGCGCTGTGCCCACCAACACTGGGGTGAAGAGACGCTGCACTGTGGCCCTGCGGATTGCAGCCTGGAGGACAGTAAAAGGACAAGAGACTGAGGGACAGTCACATGCTCCCAATGTTATTTATTCCTCATTCAACCACAAAGGCTCAACGTGCCAGTTTGGATATGCCATTCGACTTCACATCTAACCCTAACCCTTTTTTGTTGACTTTAATCAACAGACAATGTCGTGTTTTGAAGGCAAACTGGTCAGAATTTGATTTGAAGATATTTTACTTTTTTTTTTAAAATCAGCAACACTAGCAGCATGGCTACGGCCACCACTTTGGTCCAAACTGAAATAGCTCAGAAACTAGCGGATGGCTTGCCTTTTCAGTTTGGGCATTTTTGATTTGTAATGAAAAGTCTTAACAAGTATCTGATGGATTGGCATTAAATTCAATACAGATATCCAATGGTGCTCAGAAGATAAATCCTACTAAATTTGGTGATCTCCTGATTTTTCTTCTTGCACCATCGGCAGGTTGACATTTGTGGTTTGAAGGGAACCGTTTCCACAACTATTGCATCGTTTTGTACACAGATTGGTGTTCCCTTCTGGATGAATTATAATAACTTTGGTGATCCCTTAACTTTTCACATCCTCTTTCCTGAAAGACACAAACCTTCAGGTCATCATTGGTAGGAATTTTTTCCTCCAAGAACATCTCTCCCAAGATTTCGTCAGCGTTGGCCACGGACTCCACCAGTTCCTGCCTCCGGTCTGCAGCCTCAGCACGGAAATCTGCCGGGATCTCATCATAGCGGATAGTTGAACTGCGGGGGGGGGGGGGGGGGGGGAACTGTAGAATCAGTTTCATATTCCTCAGGAACAGAATCTCACTTGTAATTAACACTTGTAAACTGACAAATCCTGATTTTGATGATTTTTGTCACTGATACCTGCAGGTCTTTTAATTCTCCTGCAGCCAAGCTGTCTTCTACCAAACTCCTCTATGCTAAAAACAAACTATTCTGGTTGCAAAAAACTGAGGCACAACTTAGGAGAATCAGCAAAATAAACAATAAGTGTTAATATGGTAAGTAAGTTATCAGGTTGTTAATCACAGCGCAGAAAAATACTAAACACAGAGAGAAACTGATCTCCTCGTGGTGAAGCTACCAGAGGGGAATCCCTTACCCAAATTGTCCTTCAAAATACATGCTCCGCTCCTGTACAAGGTCAATGATGCCGCGCATGTTGCCTTCCAGGCCGATGGGGATGTTCACAAAAGCTGCGTTGTGGTTCAGCTTGGTTCTGAAAAGTAAGACAAAATCTAAATGTGAAGAATCAGTCACGGCTGATTACAACATTGTTTGTGGACTACCAAAAAATGCAGCCTAAAGATAGAGACATGGAGGTTCACACTGCCACTGTTTGTTTCTTGTATCTGTGTCTATTGTTAGGTTTATTTCTAAATTAGCAGAAATTCAGGAATAGTATACTGGATGCATGTAGAAGTTACAGGTGATGTAAACAAGACAAGGCCATGCAAATAAAGCTGGGAAATATATTGATTTTCAATCTGATCTGGGATCTCTATTGCAATATCGTGAAATGGGTTACATTTTTTTCCGTAGCTTTAATTATTAAATTTACAAAACCTCTGACTGTGTCTGCTGAGTAAATGGACCAATAAATGTACATCATCTACCAGACACATTCACATAGCTCATTCAAGTGATTTGTTTTTTTTTTAACACCAAACTTTGCAGTTTTCAGAAAATATCATCTAAAAGCACTGTACTGTACCTCAGCTGCTGCAGGGCTCGGCCGGGGTTGGCGCCCATGCGGTCTAGCTTGTTGATGAAGGTGAGGAAGGGGACGTTGTAGCGTTTCATCTGTCTGTTCACGGTCATGGTCTGACACTGGACCCCTCCCACGGCACACAGAACCAGCACGGCTCCATCCAGCACACGCAGCGCTCGCTCCACCTCAATAGTAAAGTCCACGTGACCTGGGGGGACAAAGGGGACATTGACATTTAGAAATAGAGCAAAGTAAACATGATTTAGTGAGACCTTTGAGTTGTGAGCTACGCACAAAAGTAACTTAATATATTTACTCCTATAAATTTAAATTTGAGTAAGTTCCTCCCTTTAGTTTCTGCAGCACGTTAAAGTGTTTTAGGGAATCTTTATTAAACATTAATGAAAAACATGAGGAGAGAGAGAGGGTAAAACGTTGCGATTGCATCGTCAAGACCATCGGGATACCCAAGTTTCTGCGGCTTTTTTTTTTAGTCAGAGTAATATGTGCATGTAACTGCAGCTGCACAGTCATTACAATGCATAGATGTTGACAGCTTTCCCTTAGATAACTGTGGGGCCACTGAGATTGAATGGACAGTCAGTAGATACAAGACAAGAAATCTAATTCTTTTTGCACTACTACAATTCAGTCCAGTATGAAATCTGACATGGTGCTTATTTAAGTCAAACAGTAACACATCTATCATTGTTCTCCTTTCAAAAAAGTAAAATGTATTGGGAATGTTTCAAATGATATTTAAACAAGGTAAATGCATGTTTCTCTTCCATTAAAAGTTTAAACTAATTACTTCTGCTAAAGCACGTCTGTCTGTTTTGTGCTGACATCACCAGCGTCTTCTTCTTTGACAATGTGCATCACCCAAAAAGCACTAATATCATCTGAGTAAGTATAGGCCTAAAAGGGAAACTTGTGATGGTTAGTCCTCGTCACATCTGTAAAAATAGTTGTGTGACATCTTCTGTGGCTAAAGTCAGTGAAATCCACCAGAGTGAGGTTATCATCAGGGTTATCTTAACTTGGGCTTGGAGACCTCAAATGTGTACCACAGAGCCTGCGTTACAAACTGGGGGCATATTTATTTATTTATTTATTACATATATTTACCGGGCAGGAAGGGTCTAATAAAAAAGATATTAACGTTACATAAGTATATGTATTAATAAATGCTGTAAAAAAAAAAATAAAAAAAATACTGTTGCAAGTGACAGTTCTGCCATGAAAATGTTACTTAAGAAAACACATGCAAGTATAATCAAGTATTAAATGTAGAGAAATTAGCCCTTTGAGTGTACATAGTATATTTAATGATATGTCTACTATTAGTAGAATATGCATTAATGTATAAGTAGTAGTTACTCTAGTAGTAGGTAGTTGGTCAAGTGAAGTTTATTTGTAATTATTTCATACTAATACTGCAACTGATGATTATTTTTTATCATGGATTAATCTTCAAACATGAGAAAATAGTTTGAAATGCCCACCACAATTACCCTGAGCCCAAAGTGCCACATTCACATTTGAGAAGCTGGAAGCATGAAATGTTTCAGGCATTTTGGCATTAAAAGTAACTTCAACAATTCATCCGTTTATAATACTCTGATTTATTTTTTGATGATTGACTAATCAATGCACTGATAAATCAACTACTCGTTGAAGGTTAAATGTTATATACTGTTCGTAGGTTAACATTTTACAATGCACTGTATTTTGAGTTCTTCATATGTTTTGGTAACTAATAACTTCATCCGTCATAATTGTAGTGGAAGAATAAAGTGGCATTAATTATAAATACTCTAGTAGATATCTCAAAATTGTACTTACAGTAATTCAGGAAAGTACTTAATTACATTCAACCACTGACCAACAGGGGCCCTAGGCAAAATGCTGTCCCCATGGACCCCAGTTCAAGTGAAACTTTTAGTACCTGGTGTGTCAATGATGTTGATGTTGTTATTCTTCCATACAGTGTATGTAGCAGCTGACTGGATGGTGATGCCTCTCTGTCTCTCCAGCTCCATAGAGTCCATGGTGGCTCCAACACCATCCTTCCCCTTCACCTGCACACCACAGGGGAGGGAAAACAGCTCGTGACTGCAGACTGCACACCTGTAAACCTGTCAAGTTCTATGAATACACAAACACGGCCCGTCCCGGCGCCCACCTCGTGAATCTCTGCTATCCTCCCGGTGTAGTAGAGGACACGCTCGGTCAGGGTGGTCTTCCCCGAGTCGATGTGAGCTGATATCCCGATGTTGCGGATCCTATCGTTGGGGAAGACACCGGAGGAGCATGTTCGACAGCTGTTGATGAGCACCTGTGGAGATAACCCACACACAGAGGAAGATCAATATTCAAACCCCTCTGTTAGTTCTGGTGTTAGATCGGTACAGCTTAACACAGTCCAGATTACCTTTTTAACAGTGACGCTCCCCGGTGCCAGAAGATGCGTTTTTGACAAAGAGAGACCCGCTTTTAGTACTCTCATTTTGACGACAGCTTGATCTGCCCCAGGGTGGTCTTTTGAGCAAACCCAACTCCAACAACCCCGTGAATGTCACGCCGGGGCCCTGATGGTTGCTTGTGAAACAGTACTTCCGTATCTACGGAAACGCAGATGTGCCAAATTTACAAACGTTAGCGTTCATTCAAAGTAACGACACCACATTCAAAATAGCCTAAGTATAGTGGGGGGAAAGATATGCGAGTGATATTTGTTGAGTTTCATGATAAAAAAAAAAACAAGTCAAACATTTAAATTTAAAAACATCAAAATGAGCACGAAAACGACATTTACAAAAAAAAGGTACATGCTGCTTTCTTGTGCTATCAGTTAAATTGTATTTTGTGAATGTTCCACTTGGGAGCCCCAAAGTGTTCAACATGAAATTAATTTTGAAAAGCTGTAGCAGTTTCAAAAATATTTTGTCCGCTGCACAATGTAAAAGACATGTACCCCCTTTTCCAAATTGGAGCTCTATTTCCGATCCCGGTAGCTAGCTTGTAGTTAGCTATCTTTGTTTTGATGTAGAAACATGGTCAAAACTTTGGGAAATAGGTTTAAATTAATCACCTTCATCGACAGGAGTGTTTTCAGCATTTAATCAAATGGTTAATTGCCTTGTAGGATAAACTAGTTGTGACTGTATGTATGCTATAGTTTGATGTTTCTTTGTGAACAATTAAAGGATTTATCGTTCAGTGGATTTAAGAGTAACTGGTGCAACCTTGTGTATCTGGAAATCCGGAGAACTTTTAAAGGCAACAATTTAAATACACCCATGTCGCGTGCTGTTCCTACGGTAGCAGTTTGTTAGTCACCGTGTAACTTCCTCCTTAGCAATTATCGTTTTGTTTGGTTGCCAGTTATTTTGTTCACTTCATAATTAGTGTATTTCAGTTGGCGTCGCTTCAGGTGCCAGTTAAAGAGCCTGCGCGCTTGTTAGACCTGCCCCTGTTGAGACAAACGTTTCCTCTTTTACTTCAACCACATGCTGATACTACACAACAGCAGCACTGCACTCACTGCAGCCTGAACAGATAAGCCGCAGACACATCCCCTTCACACCCGGCTGTAAGTTACAACCCTCCACATCCCCGGTAGATTGTAACAGCTGCTTCACGTGAACCAGAACAGGAACTCAGGATCTGTCTAGTAAGTCATTGTCTAACAATTTTCTAGTGTGTAGTATGATTTTTGTTGCCTTTTTGACCAATTATTGATCAGTTTGCGTGGTTTGTTATCGACAAAATGATGCCTTCAAAGTCACAGTGAACGAGATATCACGTTTTATTGTTGTTTTACATCACAGTACACAGAAATCTAGTAGGCTTTTTTCTAGTTTAAAATCGCGTATGTTGTTTTTATGTTTCTATATTGCCACCTGGCTTATCTTTTCACTGAATATATAGAGGAAAATGCGACCTGAAATACAGTAGGCTCATCAAGATTTTATAAATAAAGCAATACCACACTTTAAAAATATTTTTATGACCTGGTCATATTTTTGTATGTAAAATCTTCATCTTTAAAGTGACTACAACTGTCAGTTAAATGTAGCCTACTGGAGTTAAAGTACAATACTTCCCTCTGAAATGTAGTGGAGTAGAAGTATAAAGTATAGCTGAAAAGTACATTTCACCACTGAAAACAACCAACAACTTTTCTTTAAACAAATATCTAACTAACTCAAACCAACCTTTTATAAAGAGTGATATTACTTTCTTCAGAAATGATGGATATTTAATGTTAGGGCAAAAGTGAAAGCGTTTCCACTGTGGAAACTCTTTTTTCCTCTGTGTTTTCCTGAATGGACAAATAGATGATATAGATGATTGATGATACAGTGTGTGGCTGGTGGACATGGTGACTGTTATTTATTGCTCTGACGTCTCAGATCAGTTTTTAGTGTTTCATATGTTTACTTGGATGAATGACCAACTTGCATATAGTGTGCTATAAAGTGTCACTGTTTTGAGTGTGTGGAGTTGATTTCAGCATGGCACAAGACTCTCAGTCACCCACCCCAGTGTGAGTCATGTATGATTTTTTTTAAGATTTTGATTACAAAGACTGTACTCTAATGTGTGTGTGTGTGTGTGTGTGTGTGTGTGTGTGTGTGTGTGTGTGTGTGTGTGTGTGTGTGTGTGTGTGTGTGTGGTACACGATGAGCTGTTCTTTCCATTGTTATCCTTCCTGTCTCATTTCCGTTTTGTGAGCATTCCCTCCTGACAGCAGGGTGACTGCAGTGCTGTCACAGTTAATGACTGTGAATAACACTCAGCTGCTCACTGTGTCTCATGTAGAATAATCTATAATAGGGGGGGGTTATGGTGACTTTTGTATTTACATGCAAAATATTGGCGTGAAAACAATAGTTAGTGAAAAGCTATCAGCAGGTTGGAATTTGTGACTACAGCAGGAAGGGAGAAATACTGTTTCATTTCACCTCGTATATTTCATTATTAATTAGGACCAAACAGAAGTTGAAGCCCACATACTGTATTGTATTGTATTTTCTGTGTTTTGAAAAGAGTTGCAACTAACAATTATTTTTTGTTTCGCATGAATCTGATGGTCAGTTTTCACAATCACAATTTCCCAAGCCCAATGTGACATCTGAAAATGCCTTATTTTGTCAGACCAACAGTCAAAAAAAAACAAACTAGTTTGCTATCACAGAAGACAAATAAAAGCAGCAAATTAGTTGCCACTTAATTGTATGTTGATCCGATAATCGTTACAGCTCTAGTTTTGACATGCCAGTATGTGTTGGACACTAATGTTGCTGAAATGATCTGTTGATTAATCTATTAAATCCACAAGTTTGATATCTGATTAAAAGGGCAAAGTAATTTATTGGTTTTTGGAGTGTAGGTCAGACAGAACAAGCAACTTGAAGACAGCACCTTGGGCTCTGGGCAACTGTGATGGGCCTTTTTTTCTATAGCCCACGCTGTAGTGGGCTATAGAAAAAAATAGTGTTGTATTTGAGTCAACATTTCATGTAAATTTGCTTTGTTTTACACGCTTTTATGTTGACCATATTTTATGCCAATTGTATTTTTTTTAATGAAACCATACACTGTACAGATGAACACTGTGGTCTTAATGAAAGTGCTGTAGTGATACAACTTGGACAAGGGTACAATGTCCAGACAGAGGAGGGCAGTATTACACTGACTAACGCTGGAGAAACTGAGTCTCAAAACCTGAAACCTTGAATTTCTTTGCACTCATTTGATTTAGTGCATTATTTAAATCACTCCTCATGTCATATTTTCCAGTGAAAATACTCTCAGTGCAACTGGTGTGACTTTTCCCCTGTCAGTTTCTCTGTCCTGTAACCTCCTGCAGGAAATAAAAGTGTATTTCTGAGCTGATCGTTTCAATCACAGATTAACTGACATTCTTGAGGCAAACACGTGATTAATGACAACCAGTGTTTGCTTTGTGTGTGTTACTAATCATTACGTTATCATATTGATTAATCGAGTTTAGGGTAAGGGAGTGTTTATGACAGAGTTTATTGTTATACCAGGTAATTGTTAGTCCATGCAATTAAAGTGTTAACTACATTAATCATCATGTGTTTGTTCTCACAGATATGAGCAATTCCTACGTGGATGGAAGGGATGGCCAACTTTAAGACTTCACAGGCTCATTAAATGAATTAAGGCCAATGGCTCACTGTACATTGTAAGAGTCACGGTCTATTTGGTTTCCAGTACTTTCAAAATCAACCTCTGAAGGTGTGTCTAGGTTTACTACTACGGCATGCAGGATGGGCCAAACTCGCTCGGATCTATCGCACAGCACCGCCACCCCAGGCAGAGCGAGGTGGAAAGCAGGCGAGACAGCCCAGCGGCTCCGTATACGCAGATTCAGGAGCTCAGAGAAGCGACGGGGTGACCAGTTAAACAGGAATCCGATGAAAAATAAAGTGTTGTCGTGTTTGGGAAGGAGAAAGCGAGACTCCAGCCAAACGGAAGGGGATTTCGGTTGCGGAAACGGAGCCGGAGATCCAGCAACGCGCCACGATCACAGAGTAGGAAAGTTGCCGAGGGACGAGGTTGTGTCGGCGGTTGGGGAACATCGAGAAGCCCCGGGTTGTTTCGAGACACCATCCGGCCTAGATGATGATACCGGAGCTACCCAACACGTCGTGAGCCGAGAGGCAACGGCTGGCTCGTCCGATGCGTCAGGTTTGGAAACGCGGACCGGAGAAGTCAGCGGTGCGGGCTGTAAGGAGCCGAAAGCCGAGCGGGAGGACAATGCCTCCGATCCCCCAAAGAGGGCCATGGAAGACCAGCCACTGGGGGGAAACAACCGGGATCACTTTGTGTCTGGTGTTAGGGTATTGACGGGGACGAGTCCGACTACAGCCCCGCCGCTCACCTCTGACCCGGACACTGAGCGGACTTTGTCTAGCTTGCTCCCGGATCAAGCTTTGGATAGTGGACTGTCGATAACGGACGATCACGCTGAGGCGAAAATGACAAAAACTGACTGTAGTACCGTTTCATGTCCGTCCAAAGCGGCCGGTGACCAAAACAACTGTTGTCTGGTTGAAACTGAGAGTCGCAAGGATTCTGATCAGGCCCATCAGAGTCCTCCAGGAGGCCCAAGTTTCACAGGAACCATACCGAAACTCATCATAACCCGAGACCCCAGTCCGACCCGCTCCCAGGGGACACCGCCTCTGCTGACCGTCCCCACGGAGCTCGGTACCAGCTCGTGTCTTGACCCTCACCCTGAGGACGAGTCTCCCTGCTCGGACAGCGGCTGCGGGGGCTCCCCTGCCCTGATGCGCTCCCCGAGGAAACTGTCCAACTCATCCTCCATCGGCCTGTCCTCTGCATCGTCCTTCGAGGAGTCCGAGGACGACTTCACTGGCAGCGACATCGAGTCCAGTCTGTCTCCGGCCCGGTCTCTGTGCAGCCCAGACGATGGGACAGGGGTGAGTGTCTCTTAATATCTTTGTCACAACAGATCATTTAGTTAAAGTCATTGTGCAGTTCAGTTATTGAGAATCACAAAGAGGGCGTTTATTGTGAAGTGTTTCAGTCACATTTAGTTTATAGTTTATTTATATTGGGCGATTGAACATACACCATGGCAGACATACAGTATGTGATTCAGGCTCAATAATCACCAGAATAAATCATGGTGTCATTTGCAAAATGACTTCACTCATAAGTAGAATGGATGTGATGTTGCACACACACTGATACCGGACACAGGCCAACAGTCTTGTATCCTGTAACTGCTTTAGCTATAAGCACTTTGTTTAGTTATCAGATAGCGCAGAGCAACATGAAGACGCATGCATTTCCATATTATTCCAATGACACTCTCATCAGTCAGTGTCAGTGGATATACAGGTGTCCTGTCTGTCACACAGGCTAAAGCGCATGTCAGCGGTCAGAAATGTAAAAGTTGTTCAAACTTTGTAGGTAAACCCCTCGGACATGATGATCATTTGAAGTAAATCAGGAGGTTTGCTACGCAGCGCGTGTGTTTTGGTGGCTCTCTGCTTTTTTTAAATTACACTGTAAGAAAATCTGAATGATAACATTTCAAATAATTTGTCTAATGTGAAGCATAAAGTCTTAATGGGTCAACTCGCACCACCCAGATCAGGGGATTGTGGCTATAACACATTTAAACCAAATAAGAGGAAACTGGCTCTTATCTTCAACCCCTTCTGTGTCACTCAGCTCTCATGGCTCATGATCACTTTGCTTTGATGAGCTCAGCTGTAGGGCCATGCACTCTCTCAATGCATGTTTGGATGATGTGTCATCGCAATATTATGTGCAAATAGACCACACAAATGTTATCAGAGTGCTCTAGAAGTTAGTTTAATACCCCAAAGGCTAAAGGTTTCCCTCTCCTCTGGGCACAAGATGCAGTTTAAAGTTTCCAAGTAGGAAGTTAACCCTGTGTCAAGAGGCTTTGATGCACTGTGACTAGAAATGCTTGGAATGAGACAAGTCTTAAAAACAGGATGTGTCTACTGGAGACAGTCCTTCAGTAATTCAACCTCTCTTCTCTGCAGTTTGTAAATCCTGAATGTCCAGGTTTCCTGTTTGGGCCTCGTCACCTTGCATGTATGCTGACAGATGTTCAACTGCCTGCATGCTATTCATATTGCGCTATTTTTTAATAATCAAGCCCCAGTCACTTTTCCGCAGTGTATATGTTCCACCCTTGTCTGGTATTTTACTTATTTTTTCCAGAGGGAAACAGAGAAAGACATGACACATAGAAAAACACACACTGCTCTTTCCCTGACAGCTGAACACTGCTGTCTTTATGATCACTGTGAGGTGGAGATAGGCCTTTAAGCGATGGCTAATAACTGGTATACTGCTGTGTCCCTTATTCAAAGTGAGTGTGCCCAGGTTTACACAGACATCAAAGCAAAGTAAGTAGTGTGGGCTGTTTTATGCTATTTTATAATTTCAGTTAGCCTCTAAATCATATCACTTATCTACAAAACACTGACACAATCCCAACAACTAAGACAACAAACAAGACAAGAAACCACACAAACAAGCTCAAATCATTATCTTCATATATTGTTAGCCTATTTAATGTAGATGGAACAAAATGAACATCAATCAAACATAAATCATCATATACAGTCAAGTACTCTGTCAAGAACACCCATCTTCTCTCCTCAGCTCATTGAAAGTTGAACTTTGAACAAAGAGTGATTATTTTGGCAGATATTGCGATATGCGATTGCAGTTTGAGGTGGAATGGTTGTTTTTGAATTTTATTTTCACTGAAAACATTTTTAAATGATGCATTGATGATGATAAATGATGATTTTTGGACATGTACCAAACATGTTCCTTTACATCTGGAGAATATGATTTGTAGGGCGGGGCATATCTGCCACACTATAACGCTTATGGTACTAACAATGCGCAGCAATAGTGTGACACATTTTACCTTTATCAAAAAACTTGCATGCAATGTTTTTGCAGATCCTGCGGTTTGGATATTGCACTTGGTCATATTGTGATTTTGATTATATTTTCAAATAATTGTGCAGCCTTTTCAGTCTGGCATTTTATCAGTTTATCTGCCAATAATTTTCCTGACTAATAGATTAATAATTTTGCGAATCAAAGAAAGTGGTGTCTCAAATGCAAAGATATTCAGTTTACAGTATTATAACAGAAAAAAAGAATCAAATCTTCACATTGGTGAACCTGGAACCAGAGAATATTTTGACCTTTTCCTCAAAAAATGGTCAAAACAGGCTGATCGATTATCGTTATTTTGTAAAGTTAGGTCCTTTCCACATTCAAGTTAAATCACATTTCCTGTTTCCACTGTTGTAATGTTGGAGGACACATGGAGTTTTGAATGCAACTGATGAATAAAAAATTGTCTTGCCTCCACTTTAGTATTTCTCAATGTCTCTCTCTTGTGTTTCCTGTCCCCTCTGTTATTTTGAGTTAATTTATGGGAAAGCTCTGTCATGTTCAAATACACATTTGGCTGACTCCTCATGCTAAACTTAATTGGTTTTCCATCAATTTCAGTAATGATCATCTGACTCAGCAGGTCAGTGGACGGTGTAATTTCCTGGCTATTACATCGACAGCCAGGAAATGCGCAGCCTGAGGAGTTGCACTTGAGCTGTTGTAACAAACAGGATGACGCTGGCCTGTGGTTTCTGATAAGAGCAGGTTTTTAATGGGCATGTTTTGTCCTCCCGTACTTGTATAAAAGCTCTGTTGTCAGTTTTACGGTAATTAATTGAAGGAGGGTGTGTGAGTCTCTGTTGTTATTGGCTTTAAAAAGCCGAGGCCACGCTGTCAGCTCCCAGCCAAACCAGTTACATTTTGTACGATCGGTGACGTGAGCAGATACTTGCTCACACATGCATGCTTAGACACACATACACACTCGCGGCAATGCCGTCTTGCATTCAGAGTTGAGTGTGTGTCATGGAAAATTGGGCTGAAGGCAGAGCTGGTTGCTAGGTGACGTCTTTGCCATATATGGTACTTTTTTTTTTTTCTCCTTGTCTTGTTCTCTCTTTCTCACAGCAGTATCTATTCTGTCCCTGTCATTTGAATATTATGAGATGTAAATTCCTAGAAATGTCTACTCAGCCCAACAATACACATATTATTCTACAACTTCTCCACTCTTTTCTTCCACCATATTGAGCCTTGCGCAAAAGCTTAATATTTTCCCCTGAGACACCATGAGACATGCAGCTCAGTGGAACAGAAAACAAGAGGAAAATTAGGGTAAGCTGACAGAAGATAGAGCACAGGCAGACAAAAACATACACTGAAACTGTGAACACGTCACCTACACGTGACAGTCCTTCTTATTAATGCATGCTTATTCACATGAGCCACAATTGCTGACTTGTTTTCCGTGCCACTTTGTATTCAAAATCCCACACATCACTCCCACAACACTTATACACACAATCTATGAAAGTTCACAAAGTTAATAAGCAAAAAAAAAAAATCCCTGGTACAAAGTAAAAAAAGTAAAAAAAAAAAAAAAAAAGGAGACAAATACATTCCACTGTTTGCTTTCCTGAATCTCATTTCCATTCTATTTCATTTCTGCCCTATTATATTTACAATCTACTGCATTTCTATACTTCAAAACCACAACAAACAGGTGACGATTACATAATGTCATGGACAATACAACACACAACAGCCACACTCTGCATTAGCTCAGCAAATTAGAATGACATGCATTGGTGGAGGAATAACAGCTATTACAACCAGTAGCGCCAGAACAACAAAATCAAAATGGCAGAAATTTGTTTAACTTTTTCTAAAGTGTCTTTTCTGAGGGTGGTGTTTCACTTTGCCATCTTCTGTATGTTCAGTGGGTCACCACAGCTGAGCTCCTCGAACACAGAAGACTTAAGTCAGGGGAAAGGGATGTGGTTTCATATCAACTACTCTTGAGAAAAGAGCTCTGACAGTACCTGAAAACACCCTCAGTGTATGCATATGTTGTCACTCCTGTAGCTGATGATAGTTGCCTGACAGGTTCTGCTTTGTATCCACACACACACACACACACACACACACACACACACACACACACCTCTGTAGGTTACATAGTACTGAGGAATTTGTCATGCAGGCAAAAGGAGAGCACTGGGAGGACATGGGAAGGCCTGTTGTCCCTACCCCCATGCTACCAGTCAGTCATGAATCTGGCAGGAGATTGGCTCAGCATGGGGCTCAGGATAGGCCCTGTGCGGATTAGGGGATAGAGAGAGAGAGAGAGAGAGAGAGAGGAGGAGAAGAACAAAGGTCAGACTGAGGAGAAAGAGAAGACACCTCTAGTACCTTCAGGGAGAGAGGGTGAATGATTTAAGGGAGGAAGTAAAAGGAAAGTGGACTAGTTTGAGCAAGCAGATGGTTGAAAGAGAAAACTGACAGCTTTAAGTCTATAGGTACGTGTATATGCTTGATTTCGGCAAAGAAGATATCAAGTATTGGAAAAGCGTTAAGAGAGGAAGGGAGGAGTGACAGGATGTTGAAACAGGAGAAATAGTGAACCGGGATGACAAAAAGAGGCTGTAGAGAAGGAGAGGGGGTGAGTGTGAGAAATAAGTGAGAGTGCTTACAGCAGAGGAGGATTACTTACCAGGCAACACACGCCTCGGTTTACAACGAGGGTTTATATACTGACTGAAGCTAAATAACTGACATAAGACCGCACATTAGCCAGGAGCTAACAGCAGGCTCGGTTAAAGAAGGTAGATGATTGTGAAGGATCTCAGGCCAGCAGGGAGGCACACATCCCTGGTAGTGCTTGTCTGGGGAGACCCTGTGCTGATGGTGCGGAGTATTTTGTGCTGGCTGCGTTCTCGCTTCGTCTCCGGGGCTGTGTGTGCCTGCGTCAGCGCCTGCCTCCTCCTCCACTATTGTTCTGTCTGCCAGGTAAGCGTGGCAAATTTATCCAGAGCAGATCAAAGTTCTCTCTACGTTGCGTCCCACATCGGTGAATGTTGTCGCTAACGTCATGCTTCTTCAGAGAGAGACGATATGAGGTTAGATTAGATCAGATGGAGGTGACTTGGGTACTCAGGTGTAATGTGATTGATATCCCAGTGCCTTGTTGGTATTGCGGTGTGTGGCAGTTCTCTGGCCCTGTGTAGTCCTGCATAGCTGTGATGATCTCTCTATCTGGGTTAAGAAGCCAATAAGCCAACCAGCAGGATCATCATGCGTCAGGCTGTAATACTTTACGCAATCTGTTAATTAGTCAGATGTTAATTTTGGTATTTCACTTTAACTAATACACTCAGTTGCAAGTTTATTAGGTACACATACTAGCTAAAACTAAACCCCTGCTACTTACATCATTGAAGGTAGACTAGTAATTAGAGACACTTCTTGGTATAATGCAATATAATTCCACAAACCATTGCCTCTAAAATAGGATCGCAGAGCGCATACAGTTGAATCAACACCTCTTTGAAACCGCTTCAGCAAAAGTTGGATATTACAGTCAGGATTTATTGGAGGACCGTTTTATGCTCTCTTATTTTACCATGTGTGTAAAGGGGCTTATGTGTGTGTTGGAAACTGAGACTGTAAAGACACATTCCTGTGGTCTGTGTGACTTCTTCCAGTATGACCACTGTTGTTGTCATGTGAACAAAGGGACTCCAGCACAAAGGTGTGTGTGTGTGTGTGTGTGTGTGTGTGTGTGTGTGTGTGTGTGTGTGTGTCACTTCATGACAAGCACCCGGAAACATTCTCGGCATTTCAACCCAAAATTCTAGGAAAGGCCTGTAAATATCAGGGAGGATGGGAGTTTGATGGGAGTAAAGAAAACAGTTGAGAAAGGCTGTTGGGAGGACGAGGTGTTGGCGTTTGATTGAGACAATGTGGCGGAGGCAAGCAGTCGAGGGACTTCCATTTGAATGAAAGTGGGGAAAAATAACTCGAGAAAGGAAGGAAAATAGGATCGCAGAGCGCATTTATCAACGTCAGAGCATCGGGGAATGAAGAGGAAGCTTAGAAAACAAAGAATAATGAATTGAAGCTCTGTGCTATATATACACAAGTTATATAAAAGGGAAAGCGGAGATGGCTAAGGTTGGACTGTGTGAGGTGAAATGTGAAGAGTGTGGGATGGAAACACAGGATGAGACTGCAGTATTTAGCAGCTTCTTCAGTTTAAACTGAAACAACAAGGATCTGTTACATAAAACATCAGCAGCATTAGCTCTGGCTGGTGATGGTGATATTAATCAGAGACTTGTGACCCCACAGAGGCAACACATTAAACAGTCAGCCCGAAGCAATTAGAGAGAGAGAGCCTAATGGCATGCCGATAAAAGAACTGAAAGAAGAGAGGCTGGAGATTTGGGTGTCTGCTTCACCTTCCTCTCCCGTTTCCCCCCCCTGGACTTTCATCTGTCCCTGAGGTCGTCTTCAGGTGAGGACAGATGCTGCTAATAATAGTTCAATAAAAAGAAACTGAAGTTATTATGGTCTGATGGGCAGACACAGTTTGTATTTTGTCCACAAACAGATTTGATGTTATTCCCCAAGATCATTTTTCGGGTTTTTCCTAGAAAAATATTAGGGCCGCAACTATCACTTATTTTCATTAGCAATTAATCTGCATATTTCTCAATCGTTTTTCTTTTTTTTTCTCCGTAAAATGTCACAAAATAGCGAAGAGTGTTCATTATAATTTATCAGAGCCCACGGCTATGTCATGTGTCTTTTTTTTTATCCAACCAACCAACCAACCAACCAACCAACCAACTAACTGTATAAAACCAAAAGATATTCAGGTTGCTATTATTAATGAGAGAAAAGCAGCAAAGTGGCACACTGGTGAATCTAGTAACAGTGAATCGGGGCTTTTGCCAGAAAAACTACAACTGAGAATCAGAACAGTTGTTGATTTTTTTTCCCATGATTGAGTAATTGATTCAGCTCTAAAAAAAGATATAGCTTAAACATGTTCTCACCGTCAAGTGTAATCTTGTTGTTAAATGGGTCGTTGGAGTATGAGGCTAAAGTGAGCATGTATACATTTATGTGCCTGTGCCTCCTCTATTCAGAACACCATCAGAGTCCTCTCACTGTCTTACAGACCCTTGTGTTGTGAACCTTACATAACAGGTTCATAATTATCCCTTACAGCAGCACTTTGGACACCAACCGCTAGCAACAGTTTTACTGTACTAACAGAGCAGAGTGCCTGCTCAGTCTGAATTCCAGAAAGGCTTGGAAATGTTTAGGCATTTTTATTTTTGTTTTAACAGTGTTTTCCACCAAAGAGTTTGAGGTCAAGGTTGGATACCGGTCTGTGCAGTTTGCTTTTGAAGGAATACTTGCCAAAATAACAAACTCAGTCAAATACAGGAAGACAGTGTAAGTGGAGAAAAGAAAGGAGGTAATAGTGTGTAGCTGTCATTATAGAAAACCTACTGAATTTGCAGTAGGATTTGCAGAATTTGCAGTGTCATCTTTTTACAATTAATTGTCGCTTACCCCTAGATACATTTGTGAGTCTTTCAGGGCTCTCTCTGCTGATGCATGGGTCAACACGTGGCGCCTGGTTTCATTAGTCAAACATGTCGAAATGAGCAAGAGGAATTTTCGTCATGTTGCAAATTGTGGCTTCCACCTCGCAAGTTTGGTGAAACGCATTCACTGTTTATACCTTTCACCACTGTTCTTTTCCCCCGAGGTGGCCGGGGTTATGTCGGGGTTAATCTGTTGATGCGATTGAAGGCTCAGGTCACAGGTGTCAAGTGTTCACTCCTATTACTCTCTGCCTCCTGCGTCTGTCTGAAATCTTGACATTGACCAGCTGTCTATCGAGTCACAAACCTGCTGCACACAGTTTCCCATCATGAGGATCCCACGGACGGTCACAGCTGTTGATTGCAGTCAGAAAATCTGGTTCCCAACCCTTTTTATTTTGAAACAGGATGCTTGTAATCACATTTGTCACTTTGAAAGGTTTTGCGTGTATAGGATTAATGATGGTGATCACAGAACAGAATCACCTGCACAATATATATTTTGAATATTTATGTCCACATAAAACCTACAGTATCCCTTGTGTTGAATTATGATAGGTGAGTAATCCTTATATCTACATGACAAACCAAAAATGTAAATGGATATTTTGTATCTCATTAATGACGTGGTAATACAAACACTTTCCGTCACATATTATGGACTGTGTTTGTCTTCATGTTGGACTTTGAAATGGCTAAAACCTCTGAAAACTTGGTTTCAAATCAATGTTTTTCTTAAGACTAATTTCGATATTCCGCACTAAAAAAAAGCAACAATCAAAGTACACATTTTGAATAAGACATCTTCAGGTTTTATTTTCTAAGAGTTTAACACTCAAAAACTTCCTAATCCGCTTCAATAACTTCAGAAGATTATTTTGTGTTTTTCGGACTCACAGAAAGAAGCTGATAGAAAACAAAAATTGGCTTTCAGTGCGTTTTAAATTTTTGAGTTAGAAAACAGCACTCTATAAAGTCAAATAAAGCCTGTTTTTTCTTCTTCTAAGGTAAACACAGAGTCACAGTTTCTGTTGTGTGTGTGTGAGTGTGTGTATATCCCTGCATTAGGACTGTTTTATTGTGACAGAGTTTCAACTGAGCAGCTGTGGAAAGAATGCAAGTGAGGAGAGCAGAGATAGGCGGACATGTAAACATAGCAGAGAGATAGGCCCAGCAGTCATTCACAGAAGTTATTTGGTTATAAAAAGATTAATTTTATGATTATTGCTTCTTGTCCCTGCATTTTATTACTCACATGATTCTGTTTTGCCTCTATCTCTACCTCTATCTCTATGCCTCCTTTTTTAATTATGAGTGTTTCCGAGTCAGACATTTATTTGCATATGGTACACATTAAAAATATTGTAGGAATGATGACTGACTGCATAATGAGAAGGAGCCTAGAGAAATATTCAGTGATGTTTGCCCTTTAGTAATGTAATGTAACACACACACATTCCCATCCTAAACTGGCCGTCCGTTTGTTGTGATTTCTCACACGTTCTAATCAATCGATGTCATGTTCCTCTCAGATTGCTTGCGTCAAAGCTGCTGTTGCACACTGTCCTTGCTCTGGTGTTTCCCAACGCAGATAACGATTACACACACACACACACACACACACACACACACACACACACACACACACACACACACACACACACACACACACACAGTGTCAGACAGTAAGGGTATGTTTTACGACTCCACAGTGGTGGCTTGGGTAAATGTTTTATGAATGGGCTTTGTCACGTAGGTTGTGCACCTGGATGCACAACCTTGGGTAAAGGGGAGGATCTGTCCAATGTCTACGTGTGTGTGTGTGTGTGTGTGTTTTCCTTTTAATGAATAATCAATCTATCAGCCTGTATTTAGTTCAGTGCTTTATTTCACCAAAACATTAAACCTCACGCTGTGTAGTCAGGGCTTCAGATTTGTCACCTGTGTGACCACCCTTGCCTTTGTAACAAGAGGATGAAGTTTTCTGTGGTTTGTTGTTTTCCAGAATAAGTCCTGGCAGAAGTTGAAGACGATGGTTCACTGGTCCCCCTTCGTCGTGTCCTTCAAGAAGCGTTACCCATGGGTGCAGCTAGCTGGCCATGCAGGTATGCATCAATATACAGTGTATATGCCTCTGCATAATATGCATACAGGTTCATTCTTCGTCCTCATTATTTAAAGATATTTTTGTTTTGGAAATACACTTAATTGATGTCTTGCCAAGAACTAGATGTTACCAGTCTCATGTCTGTTCCTTAAATAGAAGGTTATAGCCAACAGCCGGTTAGCTTAGTTTAGCATAAAGACTGGGAACAGGGGGAAACAGCTAGCCTGGTTCTGTCTGTAAGCACCTCTAATGCTCACTAATTAACACATTATGGCTCATTTATTTAATCTGCACTCAAGTTGAAGTATAATGACAAGTTGTGGTTTGTAACGAACTATCCCCTGGCACCAGCTTCATATTTACCATATAAACGGAGAGAGAGGTTTCCAGAAAGTGAATAAATGTGTTTCCCAAAATGTCAAACTATTTTCTTGAATCTTTATTCCATCTCCTTCTCCAAGGTAACTTCCAGGCTGGGGAGTACGGACGCTTGTTGAAGCGATACTGTGAGTGTGAGCAACTGTGCCTACAGAAGCTGATGAAGGACACTCTGCGACCCTATGTGCCTGGTTATTACGGCGTCGTACAGAGAGACGAGCAGGACTATAACCTGATGGACGACCTGCTGGCAGACTTTGACTCACCCTCCATCATGGACTGTAAGATGGGCAGCAGGTAAGACTGTAAGAAAGTGTAATTGTGTGAAAAACATTTTCTAAGACCATAGAGAAGAAGACTTATCTTATGCTTTTGGGAGATACAGTAAGCCTTGAAAATGAACCTTTGCACATGTCTAAGCATGAACACAGTTTTCTGCCTCTCTCTCTCATATTTACTCTCCATAGTAATACAGTGCTTCACAGGATTAAAATAAGAGCAACTTCATTTGGAAAAAAAAGTAATATTAAGCCTTTGCTTTTCAGAACGTACTTGGAGGAAGAACTGATAAAAGCTAGAGAGCGTCCACGTTTGCGGAAGGACATGTATGAGAAGATGGTCGCAGTGGACCCCGGGGCCCCTACAGAGCAGGAGAGGGCGCAGCAGGGCGTCCTCAAACCCAGATACATGCAGTGGAGGGAGACGCTCAGCTCCACGGCCACCATGGGCTTCCGCATCGAAGGCATTAAGGTCAGAGGTCATCATGGACATCCAACACTGTGAACATGCCAGAGTTCCTGAGGAGAACAAATAGTTTTTAAAAGAAGTAAACCAATCAATGGGAGTAAATATTTATGAGTGTGTTCACTGGATAGACCACACACACACACACAGTCTGTTGAAGGTTTTGGCTGGATGTGCAGACATAAAGAGGACTGTTTGTTCTTTCAAAATAAATCCAGGGCTGGTCATCAAGTTGTACCAATAACTGTAGATTTGCATGTTACTCAGACATGAATGAAAATATCTGATGACACTGTGAGCATTTAAAGCAGCCTGCTTGCTGCAGCACTGAAATTAATTTCAATATTTGTTGGTCATAGTTTTTCATTGCAACCTCAGCAAAACACAACTCAGGAAGCTGTAAATAAATAAACGGCTGTCCTTGTGCAGGTCGTTCAAAAAACGATAAAGAGAGAAGAGGAAGACATACAGTATCTTATGTTTTCTTTTTCTTTTTTTTTTCAACAGAAAGCTGATGGAACTTGTAACACCAACTTTAAGAAGACAAAGCACAGAGAGCAGGTGATGCAGGCGCTGGAGGACTTTGTTGACGGCAACACTCAGATTCTGGTATGTTACAAGTTACTGCAGGTTTTTTTTTTGCGCACAAGATTGAGTGATTTGGGTGAAGTGAAAGAATACTATAGCTATACAGTTGTATTGCATGCTAATAAATGCACATAATAAAAAAATCTGATTCTGTCATTGATGGTGGCAGCACATGCATTAAGGAAGGACATAAGGCCACAGGCTCAGATGTACATTTTTAAGCCAATTTAGAAATGTCTTTCTGTTCTGCTTCCCTACATCTCTTTATTTTTATTTCTTTTTCTTAGAAACTCTACATGCAGCGGTTGGAGGATCTGCGCTCAGTCCTCGAGCAGTCACAGTTTTTCAGGACACACGAGGTGAGACACACACTCCATTTTCATGATTCTTAACAAACCTGTTGGCCGAGTTGAAGATTTATGATATCTTCCCGTCATCAGCTTCTGTGTTGAATTGTTCACACACCTAATATCACCCGTCTCACCGGTTTCTCCTTCGCAGGTCGTCGGTAGCTCTCTGCTGTTTGTGCACGACGCCTCGGGGAAGGCCAGAGTGTGGATGATCGACTTTGGGAAGACGGTTCCCCTGCCGGACCCGCGGACTCTGGACCACAGGACTCCCTGGGTGGAGGGCAACAGGGAGGATGGTTACCTGTGGGGACTGGACAACCTCATAGACATTTTCAGCAGTATGCTCCCACAGACACCTTGAGAGGGAGACTCAGAAGACTATAATGAAAGATTTGTCCAAGTCCAGATGGTGGAAGAGATACAAGATCAGGGGAGTTTGAAGAAAAGGAAAGACTGACAAAAGAATGATTGAAGAGTTTGATTACTTTTTTCAAGACCCACTCCTTGACCCAAGCGTCTTTATCCACCTGTACCTGTGTAAAAAGAGGAGGCAAAGCAAGCGCAGGATCTCTGTTGCAGAGTGGAACATGGTAAAAGACAACGTCATACATTATGCTCCATTTGTGGAACTTAGGGACAGGTGACCTGCGATCAGTTGAGGCTGAAGGTAGTGGAAAGAGAAAGAGGGAGAGACTTTAATGCAGAATTGTAACATCTGTCACTGGGACTGTGAGAATACAGTTCTATGAATTCATGGACCTCTGACAGTCACTATTTCCTGCAAAGACATGTAATATAATATTATGCACCTCCCTCCTCAACATCTCCCCCTGCTGGTTAGAGTTGCACAGTGTACGCTGACAGCCATGAATTTTGATCCAGTGGTATAAAACCTTTTTTTTTTTTTACTCGCCTTTTGAAAGGCTTTGGTAATGGGAGTTGTATTGTTGTCATGGACCACTTTTGACGTTTAAGTATACAGCAACACTAAAACACTGGTCAGACCATGTGTTAACTAACTTGGTGTGTAAATACAATTTTATTTAAATTTTGGCCTTGGTATAACCTCCTTACCTTGTTTGTACAATTTCTGTGCCTGGCATTTTTAAAGAAAGAGCTGTTTGATCATTCCAGTGCAGTGGACTCCTGCTTTTTTTTTTTTTTTTTTTCCTTCCAAAGAGTTCACCCAAGTATAAACTGATTTACATCTAATCCCAAAGTTTAACTTCTAATAGAAACTGAAAGTGTTTTCTTAATTGGATTTTTGTATGATTATGCAGTGAAAGTTTTTTTTTTTTTTCCAAGTAACTGTACATTAAGCAGCTTGGCAGCCATGTTTGTCTGGAGTTTGTTGCACTATGGATCCTCACAAAGCCATTGAACAAGTCAAACGGTGCCTCTGTGTCTTAAGATGGGAAGCAGCAGTCAAGTGCTGGGTTTACAGATGCAGACATTTAGCAGTTTAACATGAATTGAATTCGGTGTTATCACTCGATTCTGTGATCAGTGTTGCTTTAGATTTCCAGGGAGTTTTACAGTAAAGCCGTGGTGTTTAGGGTGAAATGAAACTGGAATAACCTGATTGAACTGATAAGTCTGTTTAGGCTTTCATGAGATTTCACTTATGTACCAACTCACACATGATGTTGAAACTGGAAAATTTGAACGTGTCTTATGATTGAAAGGATGACGCATTATTGAATACAAAAATATCTGTTTTAAACATGAAGACGTTGCTGTAAACCTCATAGCTAAACTAAACAGGTTTGTGGGTTTGAATTTTTGTATGCAAGATCAAGAGTTTACAAAGAAAAAACATTGTTATATTTAGATAGTAACACAGTGCTTATGATCATATCTGTCATTCCTTCGCTGGAATGCAGAAGGTTGGTGAACATGGCAGTCTTCAGTAGACGTCCTACGACAGCGTCAGGCAGCACTGTTTTGGTGTGTGTGTGTGTGCGCGCGCACATAGGCGGTTCACTTAGCACACAAATTGCCTACATGACTGCAAACATCTGACTTCATGAAATTGGAATTTGCATTTGGGAAATAAGTTTTTCCATCTCTGAAAAATAAACATACAAGGAGTAAGGAATAATAGTGTTTACAAGTCTTTCTTTGCCCAAAAATTCTCTATATTTGTAAAAATGCAAATGATCAGGTTTTCAAACTGGGTGCTGCTTTGTTTGTAAGAAAACTGGATTCATAACCACATTTTGTATTTTTAAAGGCAGCATATTTTAAAGCTGTAAAACACACAAAGACTGGTGAAAATTGTCAATAAATCCCTGCTCTGTCCAGAAGGTCACAGATTGCAATAAACTGGAAATAAGAGTTTTCAGAGTTCGTTTGTTTTTTTGTTTTTTTCACTCTCCCCCAACACACAACTCAGACCACATTTCTTTAAATCTCACATCTACATTGATTTTAATGTTTAAATATTTATTGTACTGAAGATTGCAAAATGTGCAGGTGGGCAGTGAACTGAGATAACAAAATATTAAATCAAGAATTTATTGTGTAAATATATTCCATTCACTCAGTGATGATGAAAATTTATCACATTGTAAACCTGCAACACAAAAACATAATTCTCCATACAACAGCATAAAACAGTTTCTCAGTTTAAATAAAGGTGTGATGTGGATAAAATCTTACATCACATAAGATCTAATTTTAGAACAATTGTGTCCTGGAAATTAAATTGAGACACAAAATTCCTCAGTTGGATTGTCTGTTTATGGCTTATTCAGTCAATTCAATAATTTCAAGTTCAAAGGTACTCACTCAAATGTGTGTAAATTCATTGTTTTTAAGGCAGTCCAAGAGCCTCTTGTTTATTGTATTGTTATTCATTTACACACAACATTGCTCATAAAGGCATTATACAACTAGAGATAATACTTACATGGGTTCTAGTGTAGGATCACTCACACTGCACCATAAGAATTCACTGTGATGCCTCTCAGCAAATTAAAGCGTGGACTGTTCACTGTGTGTTCACAACTGCATTTTAAAAGCCACAGCTGGGTCCTCTCGGCCAGCAGCGTCACACTTGTCACTGGTCCTGTGTCCTCATGTGGAGCAACACCGCCTGTCCAGCCAGCCCAGCCTCCACTCCTCCTTTAGGAACCACATACTGGGTCTCATTATTAGCTCTCTGAGGGTCCATCGTCCTCAGTTGCTCGTTGCTCTGAGCTACGCTGTCCAAACTCCACAGCTGGTAGCGCAGGCTTTTACCCTGTTTAGCCAGGATGTAAACCTCTCTGAGTCCTGTGCCGTTTACGGGACAAGGGAAACTGGTGCCACTGGGCAGGTAAAGCCAGGGAAGACTGGGATCAGGCTGATGGTGGTTTTCGCTCACACTCCCCTGGTCCAAACCGAGGAGAACACCTGGAACAAAAAGATACAGTAGTTGTGTGAGATCCTGATGTTTTTAGAGAGAGGTGTTTCAAAAAGCCAGTTAAACCAGGCTTATTTAAGTAAATCAGGCTTTTTTTCAGGAAGGTTTAAATACATAAAATAATGCAAATAAACAACTTGGCTGCATGGCTATTGCTTCATAGTAAGAAACGTTTCACTTTTTTCATGTTTTTTTCTCTCTTTAACTATCACTAAATAAAATTAAAGACTTAAAGACCCACGCAGAAATCCATTTATTAAATATAAACAAAGTGGCACACAGCCAATGTCAAGGTTTTTAAACAGCATTTTCACCTTATGGAGGCCGTTATGTCACATGTACAAACCACATAACATAATACAACTGATGGAGAGCTAAAGTTTCTATTTTAATTAGTCTATTTTTTATTTTATTCTCCTGATATTAAAACAAATTACATGCATTACATACATCCAATTTGAAAGTATGTTGCACATAATAAATCTACACCTATACCACCCAGTATATAATAATACAAATAAACTGTCTTCTTTCCTTTGTCCATTGCAGTTATTTTGCTAGTTTTGGGGTAAGATTTTACTCTAGATATTTTTTTTATTACATATTATATAGTTTTGTTTTAGCAGATAGTATCATATTGTTTATTCTTCACTGTGAATTGATGTGATCAGTACTTGATTTCGCAGTGATCTTGTTTCAGTTTGTTAGGTTAATTCAAGATGTGATTTTCACAATAAACTCTGAACCACCTTTACAAAAACACTCCTCTGGTGAGAGAACAATCCAGTCTTACCTGAAGCGACTGCCCAGTGCGCCCTGTGGCCGCTCCGCTGACATGGCTCATGGTTGAAGTCCTCATCATATCTGTATATACTGTCAAAGAATTTTGTCCTGTAATCTTATTGTCTTATGACATGTAGCACAGCCCAACTCATACTGGGTTTTTGAAGTCAATTCAAATATCAATATTTGGGAGATTAAAAAGAATCTAATAACGATACATGAGCTGATAGTATTTTTTTTTTTAAATAAGCAAACAACATTAATACGGATCCCTCACTACAAATTAGTTTAAAAAGAACTGTGACCAAGACACATGCTAAATATGACATTTTACAGTAAAATAAAAAAAATCAAGTTGTTGCTGCTCTCTGGTAGACAAACTACTGTATGTAGTGATGACACTGTGTCTAAATTAGCTCAAACATAATTTGGTATTTCTGTACTGTAGTTTCTTATTACCTGCCAGCCAACATACACAAATCAATACAGCCTGAAATATATCAGCCTGGCCAATGTATCGGTCTTGCTCTAACATTAGCAGTAAAAGACATGCCTTATGGTGGTTAAGTTTGGCTGCAGGATACGGGATGAGAACAGGCTGTCTCCCCCACAGGTGTGTGATGATGGTTGCAGCATTGTTACCACTTAAACCTCCAGAAAGCAGTTCTGCCTTACAGCCACAAACCTCTTCTGCCAGCAGCGCCATGTTGTTAGCTGACAAAATAAAAATATTAATGACAACATAAAGAAAGCAAACACCATAAACTCAACACAGTGTGAGAGTTTATGGTGTGTAAGAGTGAAGCAACACTAAAACAAGTTGGTTATATAACTTCCACATTTCTAAATTACTTCCTACATCTGGCTCTTAAAGCCAAATACCATATTTTTACTTCTGCCAACACCTAATAATGTTGCCTTTGGGAGGATTCAATGTTTTGCCATGCCATCGGAAAACATCTGCTGTGATCCATTATGACAGAAACACTCCCCTCTTTGCTGTTGTTCTCCACTGTTTTTTTTTTGTTTTTTTTTAATAGACTGGACCAAAACAGTACACACTTTTGTTACCTGAAAACATTTCACCCTGTGCCGTGTACCCCTTGCTCAGAGCTGTCTCAACCACAGTTTCCATGTCAATGCTCAGCTGTGGCTGTCGAAGGTGAGCAGCCATCCACAAAGCCACCAGACCGCACCTGAAAGGTAAATGAATAACACACTCACAGTCACACCCTAGCAAATATGTCATGTTTAATGACTTAAACATAAAAGCATTCAGGTAAGAATTGCCCCATTGTGCATACAACAGTCTTGGTAACCATTTTATTTGTATTATATAAGTGCTTTCTCAGTCAAATGTAGAGCCGAATGTTACTTGACAAGTATTAGACTGACACTGTAGTGACTTACTGTGGACCATCTTGGATGAGGGAAGGCACGTATGCGTTTACCAGTATCCACTGCAGGTCTTTCCTAAAACTGAAGCACAAGAACCACACCGCATAACATAAATACACAATATTCCATGAGAACAACTTTGCTGCCTTTTCAACCTTAGACTGAGTTAACAGCTTATTTGGCACAAATGTACAATCCATTACAGTCCAGTCCAACAGCCCTAAAATAAACTTTTTCTTTGTGAAGCAACTTTTTCCTCTCTTCTTCTCTGCCGACCTTATGCAAGTAGTGGTGTGGACAAAATACTAGGAACACTTTTCAGTATAAAGCAGTCCTATAGTGAAAATGCACATCATAATTTCCTAAAGCCCTAGGTCACAGTCAGGAGTCAAAAACCTGAAAATACTCAAGTAGCTATTAACTAATTAGACAAAGAAGACCAACGAATCCTCACCACTGAGAAGCTGGAACTAGAGTATTTTGTCCTTGAAAATGACTTGCATGATAAACTCATTGTCTAGATGGTTCTAGATTATTTTTCATTTAAAAAAAAAAATTCTATTTCAAAAGCTTAAACATGTTTAAAACTGACTGTTGTAATGAGAACAAGCATAACAATGTCTGTCAAATGGAAATTATTGCAAGGCTCATGAGGATTTCGAACCAGATGCATGTGCAGAAATTAAGCTGTTGTTGGAACTGCACAATTTAAAAGGGAGGGGAAACTTAGAGCGGGAAGCTCTTGAGAAAGAAAAAAGAAACGGGGGTTGTGAAAAGAACAGAACATTAAATATTGAATGATGAAAGAGTGGAAAGAAACAACAGTGTATGACCCTGTAGTATCCACTTGTCTCATTGTAAATAGTTTTTTAAAATAAGTGACACTGGGAGAATTAATATGGTGTAGGCAACTCGGTCCATGGAGCAGGATGTAATGTAAACATTAATTTGTTATTATTATGAATGTTAAGCATTTGTATATCTATTAATGTGCAAAATTAAATTCATCCTGACACCGAGTTCCCCCTTAATGTTGTGTTTCACTGATGGAAAACATTTTTTTTAATAAACTTTGATTTAATAAAATTAGTCCTTTTACTTTTATTCATTCATCATGGCTTGGAAAGACCTGTTGTTGTTTATGTAACACTTATCCAGATTCCATACAATAAGCCTTTTGTCCATGATTCAAATAAATAGATATTCAGGCTAAATGTTTCCTCGTAGTGAGTCTCACCTGCTGTCCCTCTGACTGAGCAGCAAGCGGGCCTCTGTGTGGTCTCCCTCTACAGGACTCCTGCTGCTGGCTATAGTCTGATACAGCTTCTTCTTGTGTGCTGAGGCTGGAGGAGGAGGTGGACCTGGAGCAGGTGGAGGTGGTGGAGGAGGAGGAGGAGGAGGAGGAGATGACAGGGGGTACTGCACTGACATTTTCCTTCAGCTCCTTCTAGGTTAAACCTGATAGAAAATGTGGTAAATACTTTGTATTTTTGTGTAACTCTGCAAAAGGGGCAAGTTCCAGCAGCTCTTAAAAACTGCAATACATCCGATAAACACTGTAATAAATAAATACAAACACAACCTACCCACCTCTGACAACTTAGCTAGCAGCTTTGTTGCCTACAAACAGGGCGTGAAAGGAGTTATCTTAACTCGGTGTTGAATGCTCTTTGGGTAGAAACCGAAGTGTAAAAATCCTCTCCAGTAAACGGTAATCGCTTACAAACAGTGATTAACTTGTATGTAACATGCTGAATCCCACTCCCTCTTTTTAGACTACCGCACTCAGCTAGCAGCACCGGTGTTTTGCCCATATTTGGCTAAAGCTGTTCCCGCTTCTTTTTCGTGTTTATTACCGGATCACACACCAACGGTAAAAGTCCACACTGCCCCCTACTGCTCTACTGATGTTAGAGCACAAATAAACTGAAAGCGTGGACGGAGGGTAAGAACGACTGATCACAGACAGGTAAAATACCCCTACCCTTCCTACATAGGACCCCATACTGAAAGATTTTCTCTTTGTGGTACTTTGCCATCTCTTTGTAGTGCTATTTTGTCTCAGTAGTAGCTTTGTATTTGTCTGCCATATTTTTTTGTCTCCTTTTAGTCATTATGTGTCTCTTTGTGGCTTTTTTCGTCTCTAGTATTCATGTAGTGTCTCTGCGGCTGTTTTTGGTCTCATTGCAGTAGTTTTGTTGTAATTTTTGTCTCTTTGTAGTCGTTATGTCTCCTTTTTACTCTTTTTCAGGTCTTTATAGTCAGTATGTGTCTTTTTGTGGCTGTTTTCATTGCATTTTGTGTCTTTATTTTTTGTCTCTTTGTAGTCGTCATGTTTCTCTTCGTGGCTATTTTTCGTCTCTTTGGGGTAATTGTGTGTCCTGTGCCCAATAGGCCATTCAATCAATTCATGGCTGTGGTGTAGAGTTGTGAACTCTGACTGCACAGTTAATTCATGTGTCTGAGTGACAACCTATGGTGACAACAGGTGTTACACCGCATTCTGCAATCAAAATTTGTAATTTCCTCTGTATCTCTGAGGTCCAATTTCTTTCTTCACCGCTGTCAAAATTTATGGTCTTGTCTTAATGCTGTGGTGGCACCATGTGTGGTAAAAACAGCTACAAAAATTACGAAAGTATAAAATAAATGTCCGAAATAGTCACAGAATGTAATAGGTCATCGAATTTACCATAACACCGGAAACGACGTCTGCGCTATTTTTTTAACGCGAGAACAGTGAACGGGATTTGCGAGGCCGGGGTTTTCATTCATCATTTCGAGGTGAGTTGAATCGCTTTTTATTTGGACATCAGAGTTTCTGCAGCCCATTAGTGAATTTGGGTAGCACATTTGGACGTTGTTTTGTGACATAGGGATAATCAGGCGTAAATGATTGACGAATATATTTAGTTTAATAATGTTAGTTGTAGCTAGCTTATAGGCTAACGTTCACCCCACGTTGTTTGCTAACGTTAGCTCGTTAGCTGCTTAGCGATTCAATAATAATTGTGCCCTTAATTGGTTTAAAAGTAATATTTCAAGCTTTTTTTCCCCATCCCATCACTCTTCAGCAGGTTGGAAGATGGCCACCACCGAGGTACGGCTTAACCATACAATCTACATCAACAACTTGAATGAGAAAATCAAGAAAGATGGTAAGTTTAGCATCCTCACCCTGCAGGCTCTCTCGGATCCAGTGAAATGTATCAATATATCAAATCAAACTAATTGTTTCTCTCATTTGTCTTTATTTCTGTAGAGTTGAAAAAGTCTCTGTACGCCATCTTCTCGCAGTTCGGACAGATTTTGGACATCTTGGTCGCACGAAACCTGAAGATGAAGGGCCAGGCCTTTGTAATCTTCAAAGAGATAAACAGCGCCTCCAATGCTCTGAGATCCATGCAGGGATTCCCTTTCTATGACAAACCCATGGTTGGTTATCCTCACATTGAATACCAGATCACTGAAGATCAACATATAAACCCAGGCTCTATTCAATATTTTAATTTCTTTTTTTTGTTAGAAGTCAATCAATTAAACTTTTATCTGCTTGTTAACCAGGTTGAAACAGTAGTCTTTGAGTCTGTGAATGTTCTCATTCGTCCAGGTCATAGTTATCTCTCTCTCAAATTAAATCGAAGGCAACTGGACTTGTATTTGTCTGTGGAAGTCTTCCACAGACAAATACAAGTCCAGTTGCCTTCGATTTAATTTGAGAGAGAGTAGTCTTTGAAATAAATATGGTCTTAACTCATCTGTCTCTTCCTGCAGCGTATCCAGTATGCCAAGCAGGACTCGGATATCATAGCTAAAATGAAGGGCACTTATGTGGAGCGTGACCGTAAAAAAGAGAAGAAGAAGACCAAAGGACCTGATGCTGCAGGAGCTAAGAAAGGTGTGCCAGGAGCTGCTGCACCCATGGTTGCTGGGGTACCCGCTGCCATGCCTGTAAGTAGAATTAATGTTGGCAACAGAGTTTTTGTTTGAGTATCAAGCACAATCTATCAACTCCTTACTAGTGAGCCTGATTATAACTGTGGACAGAGTAACAAAGTATTAAAAGTGGATTTGCCTTTTTTTCCAAGAAAATTGTCACTAAACCAATTGGTCTCATTTATGTTCAAAGTATTTGTTTCCAAGCAAAGCCTCAGTTTGCTTTGGAACAAAAATCATCAAATTTAAGTGAGAATTACCTTCTTAGACATATGACTGAAAATAAAACGGTAAGTGATTTATGTGAAAAAGGCAAAAATGTGTTCAGAAATCACAAAAACCGAGTTTGTTACTCCCCTCTATTGGTTTCTGTGTAGCCATACTGACAGATAAGATAGACAAATTATCTAAAATTGACACCACATTTTCATGTAGCAGAGTAAACAATAGCATACAGGCTTCCCAGATTTGGGTGGAGATCACTGATAGCATGATACTGACATGCTAATCACACTTGTACTTCACTCTTTAGGGTATGCCTCCCATGAGCCAAGCTCCCCGCATGATGCACATGCCAGGCCAGCCGCCTTACATGCCCCCTCCAGGGATGATGCCTCCTCCAGGGATGGCACCTGGTCAGATGCCCCCCGGGGCCATGCCTCCTGGTCAGATGATGCCCGGACAAATGCCTGGACAAATGCCTCAACAGGTAGCGTGTGTCACGCCTTCTCACCGTGCATTTGGTCATTTCCTTTATCTAAATAATCTTAGCATATCAGCCTATGCTTATATTCTGACCTCTACTGGCCTTTGTCCTCACAGGTTGCAGAAAATCCTCCCAATCACATCCTCTTCCTCACCAACCTGCCAGAGGAGACAAACGAACTCATGCTCTCCATGCTCTTCAACCAGTCAGTAACGACTCATTTTCTGCGTTCAGTTATACCTATTTGTATTTGCCCATTAGTTAAAGGCTGAACCTGACTGTTGTTGTCTATTCAGGTTCCCTGGGTTCAAGGAGGTGCGTCTGGTCCCTGGTCGCCACGACATCGCCTTTGTGGAGTTTGAGAATGAAGTGCAGGCGGGTGCTGCACGAGATGCACTACAAGGCTTTAAGATCACACAAACAAATGCTATGAAGATCTCATTCGCTAAGAAGTAACACCTCTCAGGACCGGCCATTTTCTTACATGCGCGCACACACACACACACACACACTCGTCTTTTTTTTTTTTTCTTTTTTTTTAATGAACAGCAGTGACCCGAAGTAAGAACCACTTTTATATACAGTTGCTGATAAGTGCTGCACGGGTGGTGGATTTTTTTCTTTCTTCCAGGATTACATGTAAGTATACTTTATTTCCATCAAGTTGCTGTGTTTTTATTGTGCTACAGAACTCTTGACTTAAAATAATGGTCAAGTACATCCATGAAAATTAGGATAATGAATTTCACAAATGTATTGGTTATATATCTGTTTTAGTTTATACCTGAATCCACAAGCAACTTGATGTACAAAGTTTTTTTTAAACTGTTTGTCATAAAGCATTGCACCCAGAGTCTGGTCTACCAGACATTGTACCTGGAGCTTTTTCCTTTTTATAATTAAAATGTTTCTTGAAGACTGCTCTCCCTCGTGATTTCCCATGCGCTCATGTTGCAGTATGATTTCATCTTAGGCCAATAGCTGGTGCTATAAACCTACTTTCTTCTACCCCTGACATTGATGTTTTGCGGTGGTGTGAGGTGGGAATAGGGATCGATAGGTTAAACACCTCAGTAAACTGTTTTTAAGCAACCCAACTGATAAATAGTTCTTAATGTTGATTTTTATCTTTTGTGCCCACTTCTGCTTCAATGCTGCTGAAACTTCAAATATATAGCAGTAAATTGTCAATGCAGGGCTGTTAAACCCTTTGCTATGGAGGACTGTGAACCTGTCGGCCTTTATTCCAATCAAAAGCTACATCAGGAGATCTTATCTTTTAATGTAGCTTCAGTCACAGAGTATGGGATATCTGGGGGAAATTACTTGTGGTCAAGCTTTTGCTTGGAATATTAAACGGCCTAATCTTAGCCCTCTGTATTGGGGAAAGCTGATTATCCGAATTGTTGTCTTTATTAGTCAGCAGTGGAGCTCGAACAGCAAATGTAGGGTGGGAGAAAAAGGGCAACAGAAGTCCTTGGTTGAACTCAGTCTGAGAATCCTGATGTTAACATGATATACGGTTCAGACTGCTGGCTGCCCACACTCTCCGCAAATATTGATAATTTGTAGAAAATTGAATTCTTTGGCCAAAGAATAAAAACATTTTTTTTCTATTTCTCCTGTAGAAATTATCGTATCTAAAATTACTGGGTCATAAATCATCGTTTCTGTTATTCTTGTAAAATAAATCAATTGGAGTCTCATTCAGTTTTTTCAGCTATGAAGTTTATACCTGAACAAAAATTAATCTATAAAATCTATTAGATTATGTCCTTCCATGGTCTTGAACCATTGTGCTTTGACATTTTTTAGTACAGTTGCATCATTCCCAATGTTTTTTTTTTCATGTCATTGGGTTGTGAATGCTGGTGCTGCTTCACAAACGCTGTACTAGATGTCAAATGATGAGAAGTTAGTTGTGTAAAGTCCTGTATTCAGAATTTTATTTAAATAAAAGTGCAGAATACTTAGAATATCAAAATTAAAAGCACTCAATATGTAGACAGAATATCCCATGCCTGCGTTATATTATTGGATAATATTTACTGAAGCATTAAGAAACAACCAGCATTTTGATGTTTAGTTGGAGTTAATTTAACCTAATGTGTTGACACTTTATTTTAATCGCCCTACTAAGAATTCATCAGCAGTATATAAACATTCAAAAACTGGTATATAAAACACCATAATGCTGTTCTAAGAACATATTAGTGTTAATTAGAATTCTTTCTGTGGACACCTATAAGTGGAAGCTGTTGTATAAATAGATAACGAATGACAATCTATTAAAACACAGTTGTAATAATATTAAGAAAATGATAATGTGGTATTAGTCCTGTATTACTGTAATATAAGGCATATGCTCGCTACAAATTTTCAAAATTTTTATCTGAAAAAAAACTAGTAATTAAAGTTCTTAGATAAATGTGGTGAAGTAACAAGAACAGTATATTTACCTTTGAAATGTACTGGAGTAAAAGTATAGCAGTACCTCTAAATGATAATTGTATTGTTGGCTGCCTTTTATAAGGACTGTATGTGGGGAATTGGTGTTTAAACAAATATCTAATGAATGCCACTGAGTACAAAGTCTCACATGGTTATAGTTGTCTAGCATTTTGCCAATTAGCAAATGCCTACTGTATGTTTTGAACACATCCTCAAAGGCCCCTCTCTGCCTTCAGATGCTGTAGGTTTGCAGAGTAATTACACCCCCACCCCCCCCACCCCCCCTCAAAGGCTGGATTCATGAGAGTGGGGCAGAGTGATGTGTGAATTAGGCCTGAAAAGCTTAATTTAGACTTGCGTTATCAACTGTGCTCAGCGCACACAGGGCCTCCCTGTTGTGGACTTAAACTGTGCCCTGAGTAATTGTCTTCAGGTCAGCTCAACAGTGTACACAGAAATGCACATTCTTCTGCAGTTTCCCAAGCCTTTCCACACTCCCTTATTTTGCCTTGAGAAAGCACTGACCTTAGTACATGCGCGGCCATTTGTGTGTGTGTGTGTGTGTGTGTGTGTGTGTCGCATGCTCTTGGCAACATGCCTAGTGCTTTCCCATTCACCAACACAGTGATCTTTCAGTTGCAGGGACTGAGAGGCAATTTATACTTATCGGGTGGATTATGCATGGGAGTTGTGTTTGTCAGTTTCGCCTCAGAGTGAGATATAATAAAAAAAAAAAAACCATCCCAAACACATCATCAATATCTGAGCCTGTGGCCTCTCTTAAGGACTGTCATGTTTCTTTTCATCGGAGGGGTGCTGACATTGGTCATCAACATTTGTGCCAGAATCTGCAACTATTTGCTTTTCGCAGTTAAAAATATTGTTTACTAGTTACTAACCAACAATCACCATTACAAACTCATGCTGCGTGGTTAAACCCCTCAGACCCTGTATAGAGCCCATAGTGGGGGTGAGCCCATAGAGAAACATGATGCCACATCCTTCCATGCAGAATTTAGAAACATTTGAATCAGACTGATGACAGTTGGTGAATTGTTTGGCCTTTGTCAATCAAATTTGATCCAACTACACCCACAGAGTCTTCATGAAGCAGATGAGTTGACTTTTTGAGTGTTAAACTCTTAATAATATTTAAAATGGTTTTCTCGCTCTGATAGTTGCTCATTTAGTCACGATATGAAGCTGAGACCTACATCTTCTACCTGTGTCCAGAGGGACACATGTGACCATTAGATGGTGCCAAATACACAACTTTGTAATGAGACCCAAAGAGAGCAGGGGTCGCACTTTTTGTTTTGGTGAATCTTCCACAGGTGAGCCACACACCGCAGCCTCCGAGCAGACCCAGTGATGTCTGCGTCTTTCCGGATGCTTGGTTAGAATTCCGCTCATGTTTGGAGGTCAGTGCTCCCCTATGCAAATCGGCGCTCGGCTCCTCAAGAGCCCTCTGTTCTGCTCCGGGGTCACTGCTGAGCGCCAGGCCGTGGAAACACCAGCGGTTGTCAGGGAAGCTCTTGAGCAACAAGCCCGTGATAGACCTTCAGATGGAGGAGGATGAGGAAGAGGAGGAGGGAGGCCGAATCTCATTAGATTTCCCCCGATAAAGAAGGTACATTGTGTGGAGGTCTTGGGTCTAGCAAGACGAGCACTGGAGGTCACATGTGGAAAATATGCCATGTGAGCGGTGCCAATATTCAAAAGATGCCTGTGCACCCTACAATTCTCTTTTATATTTATGCGCTCACCCATGTGCGCACAGTACACAGGCCGGCAGCTGTCCAAACATGCTTAATCGTAAATGTGAATATGACGATCACATTTTTTTTTTTTTTTGCGGACAACTTCCATTTCATCATCCGCAGCAGGGGCAGTTTAATGATGCAGGGCTGCAGCTTCAAAGCCTCGCCATAGAAAGTGTCCTATTCAGAGCTCCAGCGAAACTGTAAAAGCAGTTAATTGGCACGACGGAGCTTTGAAGTGAGCTGGGGACAGCAGAGCCCTGAAACTGGAGGAGAGGAACCAGTCAGGTGCCACAAAAAGGTAGAGAGGAAACAGAAAACCCAGAGAGGAGAAGTGAGATACGAAACGCGCTCATTCGTATTCCCATGCGTAAATGTGACATAGAAAAAAAGTTTGGGTTGGTCTACAGGTGGCTCAGGGTGTAGCCTAGAGAGAGAGGGGCGAGAGAAAGGGATGAGAGCACTGGTGCGCGCTGGGAACCATCCGGACCAGAGCTGAAAGACGGATATTCCCTGCCTCAGGACACACCCTCCACACTCTCTCTCTCTCTCTCTATCCCTCTCTCATTGTTTCCCACACTGACTCTATCGCCGCCGGGCTTCGTATCGGGTTGTCAAATGACTAGCCAGCCGCTTGGATTAGAGGAGCGCAAAGTGAAATCATTCCGCCGGAGAGGCACAACTTTGGTGGCTGCTTCCACACACACGTCACGAAATAGGATGAGTGTAGATTATATTTAGGGGTTTTCTGTTTTTTTTGGTGCGTGGATCAGGCTTAAAGAGAGACAGAAGAAGAAGAAGAGGAGGAGAGAGTGCCAGCTGATTGGGATAAGAGTTCAAGTCAAGTGAGCCGGCAGATTGGACCCTTTTAAAGCCTCTTAACGCAGGTGGAGGGAGGAATACAGCGCAAGGGGAGTGTGTTTACGTGCCCTGTGTGTGTGTGTTTGTGTGCATGTGTCATTCCCAGTGGAAATCCACCCTGGACACAGCAGCAAGAGGGTGATCAGGTGTGCGTGTGTATATGTGTGGGTGGGTGTGGGATAAATCCAAGCGGAGACAGAGGTAGCAGTGATTATGGTCTCTGAACTGGACGCGATGAAGTGGCTCAGCGGGAGTTTCAGGGTTTAAGACCGGAGAAGGAGGAGAGCTGGGCGGACGGACGGACGCAGGGAGGGACGAGGAGGGGGGCACACCACCACCACCACCACCACCACCACCATCATCATCGCCAGAGCGCACAACACAGTCCCCAATCCCTTGACGCAAGGATGGAGAGCTCAAGAGCGCACATGATAACTCGGCTCGATTCCAGAAACGGGAGTGGAAAGATCAGCGGGAGGCCAGACATGAGGGGTGACCGACACCGGGAACACCTCCACCTGCAGCGGGCTGTGATTTTACTCGTTGCGCTCACGATACAACCGCAGGTAAGCCACCGATTAAGTGCTATTTCGGGCGGCATGCCCTTAAACCCCCGAAGCTGACTTTTAACTGTGGTTTAGTCTCTATTTCTTATCACAGCTGCGTGAAAACAGTCAGTAATGGATTCCACACACACACGCATACGCACGGTCCCTTTCCCCTTTGTGCTGCCCTCATTCCGCTCCTATATGGCGCTGTGCCCACCTGTTGTTTCAGCCCGCTGGTGTCTGTTAACCCACGCAAAAGACAACTACTGTAATCCTATTTTAGACGCAAGGGATACAAATGTCACAGCAAAACATTTGTCTAGTAGGAGTATTATAGCAAAACCATATATATTGTTGAACATTATAAAGAAACGACTGTTTATTGTGTTTGAGCTTATTGTTTGTTGAGTATCATGGAGCGGACATCATTAAATCAAGCAAAAATAACAGCATACAGCTGCTGCATGTGATTTATAAATCCTTTTTGAAGGACTGTGGTGGCTCCTTAGTAAAACAACACCTTAATTCCCTACCCACATCCTCTGTTCAGCATCCACTCCTTATTCACTGCTTATCTGCCTCTCTCTGCATCCCCACCTTTAGCATGTTTGCAAGCTGGTGCACTGTGTATTTATTTTTAACATTATTCAGCCTCTGGTTCTTTGACACTCTCTGACTGTTTCCTACCCCCTCTGTCTTTATCCCTTATGGCTGCATGGATGCAGACCTTCTTTTGTGTGTTACAGTGCTTTATACACAACAGCAGAGTTCAAAAGTCACTGCAGTAACTTGCATTAATGATTCTGACAAGCTGCTCCTGGCATTATAGTCATTATTTTGTCAGCATGAAAAGCTTCATATTTTATGCCAGCAAAATATTGGGCATGGAGGTGAGAAACCACATTTATTTTTTCCTTCTCGCCCTGTGAGCTGTCAGGCATCTGCTGGTCTGATCAGGATGCCTATGATGTGTGACAGGACTCAGCAGTAGCAGGAACAGGCCCAGAGGTGCTCCAGAGTGTGCATGTGTGCACATGTGTGTCTTTGTGTGTGTGTGTGTGTGTGTGTGTGTGTGTGTGCGTGTGTGTGTGCGTGTGTGTGTGTTTTTTTTAAACACTGAGCTCATATCCAGCATCTGTGTCTTGGGTGTGTGTGGAGCTCGGGGCCACAGCCGAATAAACTCCGGGGCGTGTGAATGTTGAACGTTCGGGCAGCTCTGCGTGTCTCTCTCTGCACCTCTGCAACCCTCGCACAGCTGAGGAACAACACACTCCACTCCCTCCATTCTCCGACCGCACTGCAGCGTGAAGCACACTCACACATTCACAACACTCACACTCACACACTCAGGATCCTCTGCTGCCGCTGGTGACCATTTATAATGCAGACGACAGGGGACCATCCTCATCGAGACCTGCTTAGTTTGCGTGTGATTTTACAAATGAAGACACTACATGTTGTCTGTTGTTCCATTTTATTAACCCTATGTGGTTTGCAAAATCAGGCTCATTCATTTTCACTGAAGCTAGATTTTATTAAAATTAGATAACATTAAATTTGCCAAGGAAAAGTATAACCTAAAGCCCAATAAAAGCTGTTTATCTTCTAAGCTTGCGGGATCCATCCAGATGTGATTTGCTGAGGTGTCGAGATATTGCCTGAGGCTCACCACAAAACTGTGAGTCTCAGTGGGCTGCAACTATCATCTTTATCAATTAGTCTGCTAAATATGTGATTATTTGGATTATTAAATGTCAGAAAAAAGCTTAAAATTCCCAGCACACACGTACACTCTCTCTCTCTCTCTCTCTCTCTCTCTCTCTCCCTCTCTCTCTCTCTCACACACACACACACACACACACACACATATTATTATTAAATATATAACAATTGAAATTCAAAGTGCCACAAAACTTATATTAGAAAAATTCAGTCAGCAACAATGTTTTTCCAGATAGGATTACATGTGATACTTATGCATAAGGAAACTCTTAGTGAAACTATTGTGGCTAATATTTGCTGTGTCATATTTGTAATTAGATGTAGCTGTTGAGCTTTGGAGGATTGAAGGTGAGTTAACCAGTCTCACCTGAGCTCAGGTGCTGAGCCATGAATGTCAGTCTTTAGATGGAGAGGATTTGATGTGAGCCAGCCTTGAGTTTTGGGTGTAGGTAGCCTTTAACTTCCAGAGCTCTCCTGCAGAGAGGGTTTGCGCCTCAGCTGGGACCCCCCCCCCTCCCACCCCCCCCCCCCCCCCCCCCCCCCCCCCCCCCCCCCCCCCCCCCCCCCCCCCCCCCCCCCCCGGTCAGACTGAAGCGCTGAAATGCTGGTATGTGGGGAATGGCTCGGGCAGTGAGAGTAGGAGAGGAAGAAAGGAGGATGTAGAGTGATGAGCGCCACTGTATCTCCACAAGCCTTTTGATGTAGATGAGTCCGCCCTCCCTACACCCCTCCGACCCCCTTGACCCCTCCTACCTCACCCCCTCAGCCCCTCTAAGCTCAGGGACAGGGTGCAGGAGAGGGACACACAACCAAACACAATGGGGCGACTGAGATTCTGGCAGACACATGATATCTCGTTGGTCTTGGTGATTTCTGTCTATGATTGAGTGCACAGCACCGCGGGGGATACATAATTCTGATTCTTGGACTTAATGAGCTATCATTAGTTTAGTGTTTGTGCCAAAATAACTGTGAATTATTTAGATTTATTCATCAGCAGAGCTTTCATGGCAAACCGAGATAACAGTGGCTTTATTTTTGTGTTTGCAGTCATTGGAAATAGCCAAAGCCATTGTTTTATTCTGCCACAGTGACATACAGACACACAGACATGCATGCAGACACATACCTGACCCTGGTGCTCCGAGACTCTCAGGGGGGCTTGTTAACTCTAGAGTGTGTGTGGAAGTGAGTGTGTGTGTGTGTGTGTGTGTGTGTGTGTGTGTGTGTGTGTGTGTGTGTGTGTGTGTGTGTATGTGTCTCCTACATCCATCTTTAAACAGCTAAAAGAAAAAGGAGGCAGATGAAAAGGAGCATGGCAACAATACAGAAAAGAGACGGCCTCAGAAAGAGAAATGACAGGAGCATTCAAGCTTGTTTCCAGATAGAAAGAAGGGAGGAGTAGAGGAAAGAAGTGTGAGCTGGTTCTCAGTGTCGTTGTCCCCTGGGAATACACACACACGCACGCACACACACACACACACACACACACACACACACACACACACACACACACAAGATGAGCACATGTGACAGACTGTGCGAATGATTTCTTCCCCAGTTTATAAATGAATAAATATAAATTTTGTGATTTCCTTTTCTCTTTAACTCATTGTCCGTTGTTAAAAGCAGGTTCTGCTTGTTACTAAATCATCAGCTGAAATTTTTGCGCCAAAATTAGGATTTTGTTTCCTGATTGTTGCAAGGCTTCCACGGTCAATACTCAAGATCAAGAAAACTTTACCAATTCTGAAATGAATCTTGATGTGCAGTGTGCTAACAATAAATGGAGTACCTTACCTTTGTCATTTTGGTTCAGTGTTTCACTGTGTTCAAAAACAACCTCCAAATTCTGCATCAAAAACATCACAGTTAAAAGAATAGCTCAACATTTTGGCAAATGTCTTTATTTGCTTTCTTGTCGAGAGTTAGATAAGATAGATATCACTCTCATGAACACTGAAACGAAGCTACTGCCAGGAACCAGTTAGCTAAGCTTAGCATGGAAACAGCTAGCCTGGCTCTGTCTAAAATATCAGCCTAGCAGCATCATTAAATCTCATTTGTTCAAAAGGTAAAACAACAATTTGAGGTTTTATGGAGGGCTATGTGTCGGACTAACTGCTTGTCTGTCTATGCACTGTGCCAGCTAATAATGGATGATATAATAATGAAACTCTCTTTCCCGCCCTTCCTTTTCCTCTCTCTGGACTCAGGCTGTGTGTGCCGTGGGGATGTTCGAGCTTCAGATCCGCCACTTCCAGAACCCGCACGGATTCCTGCAGAACGGAGACTGCTGTGACCTCCAGGCTAGTGGGGGGCAGCGCTGCTCTGCCAGGGACCAATGTGACACTTTCTTCCGAGCCTGCCTCAAGGAGTACCAGGCCCGGGTCGCTTCAACTGGAGCCTGCACCTTTGGCTCCGGCAGCACAGGCATCCTGGGTGGAAACTCCCAGTCACTCCGTCACCGAGGACACGATGGAGGAGGAGGAGGAGGAGGAGGAGCAGGAGGAGAGGATGGGACTAACGGACACATTGCCATTCCCTTCATATACGCCTGGCCAGTAAGTACAGGGGCAGTGCTGTTATCAGTATGGTTACCAAGGGAACAGGCTAAGCTTGAAATACAACAATACACTCAAACTGAGGCTCGAGTGGAATAACAATGGCGCTCAGAGGAAGAGTTCATGTTCACATGCTTTTACACCTTTTCTGTCCTTCTCTGCATGTGCGTGAAAGTAGTAGGTCAGGATGACATGGAAAAAACATGACAATAACCACAACACATTTGTTGTGGTCCTGGTAGCCTGTGTCACTATCTGTTCAGGTGTGGAAAAGACAATCACGCTGTTGAATGACAAAATAGAAAAGAAACCTTCTATTGTGTTTTATAGAAGTGCTTGGCCACTCCTGAAGCAAAAGCTGTCTCCATAAAGAAGTAATACACTTTTATAAAATGAAACATTCATCTTCATGGGAAAAAAGCAGAGATGTTGTTTAGACCAGTGGTTCCAAACCTCAGGGTTGGACTCAGGATCCCTCCCAAGGAGTTTTAAGATAAATCTGAGGAGTCAAAAGATTACTAAACGGACAATAAAGAAAAAACTATTTCCATTACGTAATGTCAGCCATTCGGTCAATCCACCGCTTTGGTCAAGACTGAAATACCTCAACAACTATTGCATGGATTGAAATTTGGTTCAGATTACAATAATAGATGATAAACAAAACGACTTACTTACTAGCTTGAATTATGTCATTTGTAGTTTGTCATTCACTATATTCCATGATAAATAATTTGTTCTGCCTCCATTGATCTCCTCAGTCACATCTATTTCTTCTCCTCCCTTCATCCATAATGAACTTTCTCTTCTTATGTTAGAGACTGTTGGTCTTTTCGTTGCTTTCTTCTGGACCTATCGAACAATCTCCATCTCGATCAAACATCACACTGCTGGCTGCTCCGTCTTGTGTCCTCATTAAAGAGCAAACCAATTAATCTGCCATTAGCACAACAGTAGGCGAGTGTGGCCAAGGAACAGAAATCGATTATTCAGTCCACTTTTCTCTTTCCTCCTCCAGCTCTCCCTTTCTCTTTTTCTTTAGGTTTTTCCCAATAATGCAGGAAGAAACTAATACTAACATTAGTCACTGTGAATGAAGGAGTTTTTCATCTGTCTGAAGTCTCGTCACCAAACAAGAGAGTGGTTGTTAGCCTGTAACATGAAAAACAAGCTGTTTGAAGATTCCAGGGATTTGTGGTGGTTATATTATTGATGATATATTTCACAGTTTTCTCACATTTTATAGATTCATTGAGAAAACACTTGTGAGATTAATCGTTAATGAAAATAAGATGCAGGCCTATTCTTTTCACATTGTTTTATTTTTTTTTGCTTTGAGACCTAAAGTCCTTGCAAGGGCAGGAAAATGAGAAGCTTTTACAGCAGTGACTGACACAAATACTCTCATTCGGTAGAGCTCTTACCTCCTCCAATCACCCTTCTGAAAATCCATCAATCCGTCTCTTCACCCTTTAATCACTTCTTTCCTGGACTCTTCGATTCAGCAATTAATGCTTGCTCAAGAGAATCCCTTCAAAATGATTTGGCAGGGACACGGAGGAATGAGCCACAATTTTTCTAGGGATTTTAGAAGTTTTGTTTGTTTCTTACTTTTTCTATTTGAGTGAAAGAAAACCTCCTGCAGTCTTTTCTATCTCTCTTTTTGTCTGCCTTTGATCGCTCCCAGCATGGTTGACTTGCTTCTAATAATGAAAGAATTACAGAAATGCAACAAAAGGCTTTGTGGTTCTAATTCATAATCATATTGTGTTGTAATAATGTTGGTAATATCGCACAAAACCCAGGTGAGGCTTCAGATACACACAGAGCGTGACACACAGATACTCCTAACATGGATTATAAGACAATGGACTGCTGGGTACAGACATGTAAAACGCCCCCACCACTTTTACTTTGGAGCAAGACACCCAGACTGAAAGAGAGACTCTCCTTAGTTGTTTTGTGTCTTCTTTTAGACACTATACATCTCTCTGTGGCCATTTTGTGTCTATTTGTGGTTGTGTTGCTTTTCTTTTTAGTTGTTTAGCATCTCTTTGAGGCCATGGCTCATCTCTTATTCATTGTTTTACATCTCTTTGTGGATGTATAACATCTATATTTAGTCTGTTGCATCCCTTTGTGGTTGTGTTGCGTTTCTTTTTAGTTGTTTTGCGTCTCTTTGAGGTCATTATGTGTCCTATTATAGTTAGTTTATGTCTCTTTGTGGTCATTGTGCATGTTTTTGTGTTTGTTTTATGTCTCTCTGTAGTTGTTTGATTGACTTTCCAACAAGAAATATCAAAAGTCACTTCAAATGGAGGCTCTGGTCCAGGAGCCATTTGATCACTCTGGCTGACCCGTTCAATTGTCCATCCATGACTCCGAATATATCCACACTGAGCACACACGGCATACACAAGAATGTCCTACAGAGTTGGCTTCGGTTTCTTCTTCTTGATTAGTATCAGCCCATTTACCTGTGAGACTCTCTGTCCCAGGGCCAATTATCTTCCCCTATCTGCGTTTGCTTTTGTGTGCGTTTCTGTGTGTGTGCTGTGAGCATACTGTGTGTTTGTAACACACTTTCCTTGTATTTATTCTCTCCTCCTGTACATTGGGTAGGTGTGTGATTGGCAGGTAAGAGTGTGAGAAAGTTCTCCATCAGAAAGCCTACCTGGATCAGTTTCAGGGCCGGGCTGCAGGGCGGGCTGGGCTACAGGGGAGAGAGAGCTGGGACACACAGTGGCAGCGTCTTTGGCTGAAAGACCCGCTTTATCTGGCCAATCTCTGGGAGGTGGAGGGGGGGGTGCGGGTGAGAAAAGGGAGGAGGGGGGTGAGAGAGAGAGAGAGAGAGAGAGAGAGATAGAGTGATCTCCCTGCCCCAGGTGAGGGGATGAACAGGTGAGCGTAGTCATTATGAGGAAAGGTGAGCTCTTTCTGTCCCCTGGCTTCCCTCACTAGTTCAGCCTTTCTTTCTACCACTAATCTCTTCAGTCATATGTGTGTGTGTCTGTGTTAGCTAATGAATGTGGGCATAGTTGTAATTCGTTGTGTTGTAATGCTATCAAGGTTGCCTGGAGGTTTTCATCCCTGTTAGGTTGCTGTAAATCTCATTGCTCCGGTGAAAGCTCTGTGCAGGTAAATCGTCCTGCCCATTAATTCATATGAACACTAGAATGACAGAGGATGTCGTACCATGTGTCTGCTGTTTGCTATGTCTGGTTTTGGAAGTTAAAACCAGATTTTAGCTTTGCTTCCTGGTCAGCAGTAATCTCACAGATAGTCTGAGGGACATGGTTTCATTTTGACCCCAGATTTAAAATCACAGACACTCAGCGGTCTGGGATGTTTTAGCTGTGGCGCCTCCGCAGAGACGGGAAAAGTTCAAAGACTTCATAACTGCGAGGTCATTTCTTTAAGCCCTCTCTCTGTTGGCGGTTTCACTGTTGAATCTGTTTGGATGACAGAGGGAAACAGAGCGAGCTGCAGAGAGAGTTTGTTCCTGATGAATCTTTTTATCTGACAGAAGGGGGAAGGAATCAGTAATTGAATCAGGTGGATGAGTGAAAATTTAGAGAGTCGGCAGGTACACAGTGCAAAAATAATGACAAGGTCATAGTATGGAGACAAAACTTAAGTGGGTGTTGTTTTTTGTTCTTATCCATTAACACTTATGCTTTGATTCAGCCTCGTTTACCACACGCTGTGGGAACTGAATCTGTTGTGACTTGACCTTTTGTCACTCAGAACTACTTCATCAAAGTCTGGTTAAGGCCTGCTCTTTTGTTAAAACCACCTGTGACAAACGACAATATGAGAGGTGCTATAGAAATACCGTTAACATGAAGTGAATGGAGTGAAGTCCCCACCATTTATAATCCTTATGTCAAGTGTTAAAGCTCATTCATGGTCAGGTTCACTGCCAAACGCCATAGCTGGCTGTTGCTGGGAAAGACTTGAATTCAGCAAAGTCTGTGTGTGTGTGTGTGTGTGTGTGTGTGTGTGTGTGTGTGTGTGTGTGTGTGTGTGTGTGTGTGTGTGTGTGTGCGTGCGTGCGTGTGCGTGTGCACGCCAACTTTGCTCCTTTCAACTTGTCTTTTGCCATGCATGCTCAATGTATCTTGCATCTTGTTTGCATAGATGTGAGTCTTATCACAAACACAGCTAAATGCTGAGTCATGCAGCACATTCAGAGCATGAAGAGAAGTAATGCTGACAACTCATGCTGTCCTGATGTGTTGTATCTATAAGCAAAGTGGAGTCAGAGCCAAAATGTTACTGATATTAATATGTGCTCTGGATATAAAGAAGTGCAGGTGTCCTGGTGGCTTAGCGGCTAAGACATATATCATAAACATTAAATACTATCAACTGAACTACTGTCAATGGAGATAATTCTAACTACTTTAAATAGTGTTTGGTTGTTAAACTTACAATAATGTAATTCATAAACTGAAGAAAAGAATTACGACCTTAATTTTAACCACAACAAATTGTTGATTCTCTTTGATTTTTCTAGATCATCCTCAGATCTCACTCTGGACAGTTCGCATTGTAACTACTTGTTTTTTCTACAAAGAGACAGTGTAGTTTCTCTGTTGACTGTTCACAGCAAGGCCTGTTTCATATCCAGAGTAATCATGTCATTGTTGGTGAGCCTCTCGGGTATAAGGTTTTGATGCTTTGAGCACCACAAATGTCATTTCTTTCACTTGAATTGTGTTGGGCGGCAGCAGACAACAGGAGGAGTAAAATCTGTTAATATAGGTGATGCTATCAAGGCTTGTATTTAGGTTAACAAAACCCTTCCTCCTCAGTGAAATTCTTAACAATCAGCCTCTTGGCCTAGATATCACAGAGTTCAACATGCAAAGTGTGGCTGTCATGCAAATAAGTTCAGGTGAAGCTGCTCTGGGCTGAGTCTTCATGTCAGTCTGTATCTGCTCTACTGTTATTTTACTGTGACAAATAGAAAAGCTAAAGTGAATTCATTCAAAGTG